TGAGCGCAGGTCGAATCCGTTCCGCGCCAGCAAAAGCGCTGTACGAGAGGGTGCTGCCCCAGAAGAGCACCATCGACAGGGGTGTGAAAAGTGGATATAGCGGTGGAGTAGCCACGAATGGTCGAAGCCGCCAGGCCTTCTTCCAAACGAGCTTGCAAAAACTCCAATACTCTGACTAAATCCGCAGAAAAGGGATCTGCAATGCCCCTATCTGAACACCAGCGCGCATAGCGGGACCACCTATCCTCGTACTGAACGTTTGTCGAATCCCGCCTCGAAGCCAGAATTGTGTCTGCAACTGCTGCAGGAATTCCGCGTGCCTCGAGGTTAGACCTGACAGAGGCCAAGCCACCCATTGAATCCTTGGATTGGGGTGGGGCGCTCCGTTCTGAGTGAGAATGTCCGGTCGTAAAGGTAATAGAACAGGAGGCTGAGCCAGAAACCTGAGAATTACCGGAAACCAGCTCTGTGACGGCCAAAGCGGTGCCAGTAGCACAAGTAGCCGAGCTGGCTGGGTGGACAGCTGTGAAAGGACACGGGGAATGAGTGGTAACGGCGGGAACGCCCAGAGCACTTTGCCCGTCCAATCCAGCAGGAAGGCGTCGGCAGCCAACGCCCCTGGGTCCGGTATCCGAGAGCAGAACACGGGTGTCTGATGCGTCCCGCCGGACGCAAACAGATCCACCTGGAACGACCCGTACAACTGGGAGATTACTCTGAAAATCTGCCTGTCGATCATCCGGATCTCCCGGAGGAGCGCTGGGGACACCGTGCCTCCCTGCTTCAGGATGTACGACATGGCCGTCTGGTTGTCCAACTGAAGACGGACTACCTGGCCACGGACATGCTCTCTGAAGCGCTCGAATACCAACCGCACAGCTCTCAGTTCCAACACGTTGATGTGAAGGTGGGCTTCGGCTTAGGACCAGAGTCCGGATGCCACAGGCTACCCAGAACACCCCCCCAGCCCGTGAGGGACGCATCGGTCTGAACTGTGAGAGCTGGCGTCGGGATTTCCAAGGGGATCCCCCTGGTGAGATTCCCGACATTTGTCCACCACTGAAGGCGAGGTGTCAATCACTCGGGGACTGTGAGACTGCGCTCCAGATCCTCCGTGCGAGTCCACAGACGAGCCAAAGCTTGCTGTATAGGACAGCATCCTCAACCGCGCCCGCCACACTACAGAGATCGTCGCCGCCATATGGCCCAGTAGACGGAGCCAAGTCCGTGCTGGTGCCTGGGGCTGGGAGAGGAATGAAGATACCATCTCCCGAACTCTGGTGATCCGGTCGGGCGACAAGGAAACGAGATCCTTGTTCGTTTGGAATCGCGCTCCAAGAAAAACCAAGTCCTGGGTGGGTACCAGGTCGGATTTCTTGAGGTTGATGATCCACCCCAGTCGAGTTAGAATGTCTATCACTGTGTGAGTAGCATCTTGACTCGCTGGCTGAGTTAGTGCTCCGAGCAACCAGTCGTCTAGGTAAGGGTAACAATGCCTTCCTTGCGAACGAGCTAGGGTAGCTGGGACTAACATGAGCTTGGTGAACACCCTTGGGGCAGTCGATATGCCGAAGGGGAGCACCCTGAATTGGTAACACATCCCGTCGTAAGAGAACCGAAGGTACTGCTTGAACGATGGATGTAGTGGTACATGCAGATACGCATCCTTTAGGTCGATTGACGTGAGCCAATCGCCGGGCTGAACAGATGAGATCACCGAGCGCAGTGTCTCCATCTTGAAGGATGGTACTTCTAGCATGCGATTCAACCCCTTGAGGTTGAGAATCTGGACGGAACCCGCCGTCTTTCTTCGGGACGAGGAAGTACGTGGAGTAAAATCCCGCCTGTTCCTCTCCCGGTGGAATGCGCTCGATTGCGGACTTGTCCAGCAGAGCCTGAACTTCGTCGCGCAATATGTCCGCCCTGGCCTGACATGACGGCACCGGAGTGCGACGTATGCCGGTGAAGTCGGGCGGACCTCGCTTCCACAGTGGTAAATGGCCTATGCTGACCGTGGCCAGCACCCAAGCGTTGTTGGTAGCCTTCTCCCATTCTGGCAGGAATAGAGAGAGGCGGCCTCCTACTGGGATATGGGGTAGGAGCGCGTGCGTGGACCCTAGTAGCGGAGCTGACTGGGTGTGACACACGGCTTGAGCGGCAGCCTGATGGGTTAACGGGAGGTCGGGGCAGACCTCCCGCGCCCGCGAAAAGGCTGGGAGCTAGTCGAGGACTGCTCCTTGCCCCTACCCTTGGCGGACCCGTTCCTCCGCCTACCCCTACCAAGCAGCCGAAGCCAGCCGGCAGACTCGGGCGTAGGCTGCGCCCCGGCGGAGGAAGGTAGAACGGGAGCGCGGGAGCGAGACACCTGTGGGTGCTCCAACAAGGCCTTAGAATCCTTGAAGGAGGTAGCTGCAGCAGCAGCCTCCCATATGACCTGCTGGGCCCCTGGAAAGAGGGTCGCTCCCAGACGGAAAGGGAGGGCCAGGGAGGGCCAGCAAGGTCTGCTGCGTCACTGCCGAGTACCTAGACGTCGACAGCCACAGCTTGCGCATCCCCATGACTGCGCACATCAGTCGACGCTGCAGACCGCAAAGAGTCGCGCGCGAGGTGGGCCTGCACTTCCGATAGCTGACGGAGCAGCACGACATGCGGCGAAACGTCGCCAGCATGCCCCTCCACCTCCAGGGCCGACCTCTGAATAGAGGAGAGGTAGGCCTCGTGGACCACCACCCTGACCTGCTGCATCGCGTTCCGGTAGACCTCCTCGTAGGTCCGGTACGCGTGCCGCAGGGGGGCGCCCACGAGGGCAAAAGGTGGAGTGAGGCGGCTTTGCCGAGCAGCCGGAGCTGCTCCGGAGGAAGCCGAGCCTCCCCCCAGGGCGACGGAAGTGAACACTCACTCGTCAACGATGGGAACTACAAACAGGGAGTCCTCCCCAAGCTGGTAGCGCCGCATGAGATCCGGCAAGTCGAACCGGACTCGGGCACCAGACAAGAGGGGATCAACCACGTCTGAGACCAACGAAGGCAAAATGCGGAGCTGCGTCTGCGAGGGGCAAACGCCTCGCCAGGCAAGCGGAACTCAGCCGAGTCCACGCAACCCACAGGCACCGCAGCTTGGGGTAGGCCCTCGGCAATTCTTTGCCGGACCTCCCGCAGAGCCGAAGCAAAACGGAAGCCTCCGTCATGCTCCTCAACCTCCATAAGCTCCATTGCCTCGGCGCCCGAGCCCGAGTCAGAGGCTGGGTCTCCTCCGAAAGAGGACCCTAACTCCGACCCGGTGGGCTGCCTAACGCTAGGAAGCACAGAAAGGGAAGAGCAGACAGACTGCTCCACGTCGGCGCCAGCAGGCGTGCATGGACCCCGGTCCCGAGACGCTGGAGGCAGGCCAGGCAGAACTGGTGCCTCCGCTCTCATGGGGCGGGAGTGCGCAGGGACCGGAACACCAGGAATACTCAACGGTCCCTGCGCCAACTCCGAGAGGGGGACTGGGAGCACCTCCCCCTCCGGGGCAGCCGAGGCGTCCGGACCTGAAGCCAGAGGCAACGGGTCAACAGACGCCTCAAGGCTGAGGGATCGAGCCGAGCCCGGCGATCCCACCCCCTGACTCTCCGCCCCCCGTCCGGAGTGAGCGAGGAACTCCTGGCGGAGACCTCCAACTGACTCACGAACGAGGGACTTCACAGAGTCCATATGCTGCTGAAACAAGTTTTCCATTATAGACATGTCAAAGCCACCAGTACTGGCGGGAGAGGGGGTTTGGCCACGGGATTTTTTTCCCTTTTTTGACGGCTTTTTAGCCTTAGACGGGGGGACCTGCGTCAGTTCCCCACCCGCCTCACGCATCTCCCGGTAGAAGAGCGTATCTGCCGTCCTCCTCTTTTGGGCCCGGGGGGGAACCCAAGACATATTGGACAAGATTCCGCATCGTGTCCCGTCTTCTCGAGACGGGCAACGCATTGCTCATGCCTGTCGGCCCGTGGAATACTTTGTCCTCGAACAGGATGAAAAGGCCTGAAAGCAAACATGTAGCTAACAGCGGCCAGCAGCATATAAACACGTAGAAAACATTGAAAAATACGTGAAGGTTACCACGGAAAATAATAGTTGGTTTTAATACTCAATATTACGACCACATGGCACGCTAAACTTCCCGCCATGGCAGAGCAACACGTGCGTAAACCACGGGAAAGTTCGCGTATTAGAATTAATACAAAGTCACAATTATGAAACAACCAATTGTAAAGCTTTACTGTTCCTTTCATAAGCAAATAAAGACCATACATACAGGTGGTGTCTGAGACATTCAATTTCTGGTTCGTCAGAAAGTTCAGCTGCGTCCGGCTCATGAAGTATTACATACGTCTGTTCATGGCAGTGACAGCAGAAGGAATGATGATACGGGTCTAGGAGCCTACCCAGTTGGTGCGCATGCGCTAAGGGAGGTAACTCCGTGAGGCAGGGACCGTATAATAAATAAAAGAGTTTATTTATTGTTCAATCTTTTTATTCAAAAAACATTGATACAACTGTCACAGGACATTTTTCAGCAGGAAAATGCATAATATGTACCCCAAGGACGATCTCTATGAAGAAGAATGACAAATACTGTTCCCATCTTTGACTCCGCTCTCAACTTCGTTAACGTCGAGGTAATTTGTGACCTCTGATCTATTACACAGGACCACTTTCAATATCTAGTTCAGAAATTAAATTAGTCGTAGCATCTTCTCCAGAAGACAAAATAATTTTCCGCTCAAAATTCTAATGTTTATATATTGCACAACAATGTAACCTTAGAAGACTTAGATTTGGCTCTTATACACTTCATAAAAAATGCCAAAAGTACAATACTTTTAGTATGAGGACCGACTTTGAATTGAGATTTTTTTTTAAATTGTCCCTTCCTGCCTTTATGTTTTCTGAGAACATCCGAAAAACAATATCGGTGTGGCCGAACTACTTTTACTGTTAATTTAAAAATTAAAAACCGAGACAAGGTAGTGTCACGACATTTATTTCACAGCTTACATGCAGTTTGAAAATTGCCTTCCAGTTGGCTGCAAAATGACCCAATCACCAGTGGGTTAGCACGAGACCTTTTTGGCACTCCTTGCAGAAGGGTTGTAACGCCATTTCATGCGGATATTTCCACCCATGTAACAACCGCCGCAGTAGCCGCCGCACTTTAGCCTGTAATATTCTTTTGTGGACGTGTGGGAGTAGGTGCCGCCGCCGTAAGATCCAGTTGAATACACGGGAGTCTGGGAAAAAAAAAAAAAAAAATGACTTGTGAATTGTTCCATAGAAAACCTAATTACCCAAAGGGTAAAAAAAAGGCAAGGTTGTAGTACAGTTTATCGCAATGGCCGACAGTGATTAGCGACAGTTTGGTAGAAGGTAAAGAAATGAAGCCAATGACGTGAACGGTGGAGTTGGGACGAAATCTAAAATGGCACAAAAGTCAACCGTTTTAGAATTGACATTTGGAATTAGAAATAAGAAATATGAAATTGTAGGTGGAAGCGACATGTCCGAAGTTCGGAAAATTTAAGAAAATGTTGTCTATGGCAAGGTCAATATTTTGAGCCAGAAAAGGTCAAAATTACGCTGTATCGTGCCAAGAACCGGTATGTATGTATTTGCCAGCTGTTGAAGCTACAATATGGTAGCTGAAGTAACTTAATATGAAAGCCATAAACTTTATTGCATAAACCAATGTAAACCGGTTATGAAAGGAAATGTTTCATAACAGAAGTTATGTTATGTGGAAGTCAATGTTAGCTCATTTGTAATATGAAGGTGGCAAGGATCGAGAGTTTGGTTTGTTATGTTAAGACTCTGCTGCAGCGTTTTGGGCGACGATTCCGATGATTCAGAACATGTTATAGAACTTACAGATTTTATCGTAATTCCAGTGCCCCTGAAGTCAACAATGGCGATTCCTTTCCTGTTGCACGACTTCAGTTTCGAGTGGCAGGCGTGTGCTACACCATAGGGGAGACGGACACCAGTTGTTGATGTGGCAAATGTCAAGTCTAACCTGATTACACTCATCGTCTGAAAATAAGATTGTCGTGGGGCATTATTTCAGCAATATCAAGGTGTAGGAAGACAAATGGGCTTTACACATTGTACCCATGTGGGGAATCGAACTTAAGTATTGGTGTTATGAGATAACTCTAACTACCGTCAACCCAAATGAAATGTGCTAGATGTGAAGTCTAGTGTTACACTGTTTAGTCGACACTTGCACCTATAAAAATAGTTTTACAATGACAAAACAACCTGACATTTTATAAATGAATTAGGGACCTAATGTTAATGCCATACATGGCTTGTAAGCGCCTAAAATATTCCCGAAAGTAGTAACGCCCTACTTTCGTGCAATAGTTTTTGGTTATTAGACAATGGTTTGTTGCTCCTTCGAGAGCAGTTTAGATCATGTCGAAAAAAAGCAATCTAGTCTTTGAATGAACTGAAACTAATATCAGGAGTCGAAATTCATATCTAACAGGCTTTGATTAGGCGTAGTTTAAGTACTAACATTGTAGTTAGAGATTGGGAAATATTACTATTTGTGGCGGATTTGGAGTTTATGGAATATAGGCTCGAGAAAAGAATGAGTGGACGGGTGTGTCCACACTGTTGGAATATTGCTGATACAAATATACCGAGATTAGAAACGCACCACATTAAAATGCACCAACGATCCATAGATATCATGGGTACATTTCAGTCCTACGGGGATAGTTCGTATGATATGGGTGGTGCGTTTCTAATGTTGTTCAGTATATATGTATATACAGGAACAAATTTACAATAGACTTTTGTAAAATTGTTTGTCGCTTCTATTGAGTAAAATATGCGTAACTTACCTGTACATTGAGTCGAACCTTTTTGTAGGTAGTTTTTCCCGATTTGTTATTTTTCTTGGGAAGAGGAACGTCTTTGCCTTTACAGTCTAAGTTCCGAGTGTTGGGATAGTAAGCGTAGTTATTTCGCTTTAGGGTGATGTATTCACGAGGAGACCTGGTTTTCATTTTGTAGCAGTAAACCTTGATCTTTTTACCTCTGAGGAGGCTTGGGTTTATCCAATATTCTCCGTCTTTGAAGACACGACACTTGCTCTTGATGCTAGCGCACGAGTTGGCTGTAAGGAGAACCAGTCATGGTCATTTGTGCTTGGTGTGTGGCGGCACACAGAAGTGCGTGTTATATAGATTTCCGTCATGATTTAAGTAATCGTAGGTGCTCGGCGTGACGTGCCAAGTGTACTCTACACTCAAAATATGTCTACACGTGATCAGAAATTGTCAAATTTGTAAAATGAAATAATGTCTAAATTTACAGGAATAGGGCAAATGCAAAATAAGGCATTGGCAAGCGATTATGCATAAACGCTATAGCGATAGCATGTGAAGGGAGAGGTGCAACTGTAAATAGTTTTAGTCGTTTCGAAGTACTTACGTTCACAACTAAAGGTGACTTTAGCCCAGGTGCTGTCGGACAAACATTGGAGGGAAGGCGTGCTCGTTGCTTGAAAGCCCGAGTCGCATGTGTAGGTGGCTTTGGAGCCAACAGTGAGGGAGGAATACTTGACTCTAGATCTTTTGATAGCTGGTGGAGGGCCGCAGACATCTTTAGTCAGCTTCATCAATATTAACATTGTGTCCGCTGTTGCATATTCTAAAATAAATTTAGAGTTTATACAGCAAGTCAACATGATTTATGTTGAAATTGTATTTGGTGAAAAACGTTATGGACAGATCGAGATAAGCTATACCTGGTTGTTGAGCATTTTCGTAAAATTCCATCAATAGCACGGGTGTGTCATGATAAGCGACTATGTTAGGCAGGTGAGTGAGTTTAGTTTTACGCCGCACTCAGCAATATTCCAGCTATAGGGCGGCTGTCTAAATAATCGAGTCTGGATCAGACAATCCAGTGAACAGCATGAGCATTGATCTACGTAATTGTAGACCGATGACATGCGTCAACCAAGTCTGCGAGCCTGATTTACGTTAGGAGGAGGTCAAGGAATGAGCCGAATGAGGTATGGAGCATCGGGCAAGACATATGATTTTCTAAATTAGAAACAAGTTGTTTGAGACAATCATTTAAAGTCTCAATGCGATATTTTGAGATCTCAAGTAGCCTTAGAAGTCAAGTACAGGTGGTGATCAAAGTCACAGTGTGTGAAGACAACACTACAGTAATCTGGGAATTTACGATTACTAAAAGGGGGTTCTGTTGCGAGACGAGTTGGTGAAGGAAATACTTACTATATGAAACTTTCGCCGTTGAAATGTCCGAGTAACCAATCCGCGGATAACTGGTGCCTACATCGTAGTTGCAAACGTGGTACTTCGAGTCTTTGACTATCAGCCATCCTCTGTCGTTATAGCAACCACCCCAGTTTCTGTTGATGTACCATCTCCGATATGTTTTTGCCCTAAGCACATTGAAGTTAAAGAAACCGAATTGAGCATGTGGAGTTTGTATAGACAGGTGCAATAGATGGAATATAGCTGCAAGTTGATCGGAAAACTCCAATTGTTGTCTTACATTAGGCACTTACATGCTGTGAGGTGTCACTTCATAATCATAGTTGTATGCATGAAAAGCTGCTGAAAATCATCAATATCTCAAAGTGTAAAGGAGTAGCAATGACGTTTGTAGGGCTTTGCTGTATACACCAATTTCCAATTTGAGCGAGTTTCGTTTTACGCCGCACTCGGCAATATTACAGCTATAAGGCTGAGAATTGAGTTTGGACAGTGAGCAACAGCATTAGCATCAATCCGCTCAATTGGGAACCGATGACATGTGTCAATCAAGCCAGCGAGCCCGACCACCCGATGCCGTTAGTCGCCATTTCCAATGTAGACCATATGCGAGTTACAAATGAGGCGGCCGTCTGGCATATCGGAAAGTACTAGGACATTGGAAACTGGAAGGGAAAATGTTTAGCGTCTGAGAAGCATGATGATAAAGTTCGTAAACAGGAAAGGTAGAGGGGCCGTGTAGTTCGCTATAGTTCCAATAAGCCCAGAAACATGTGACGTGTAATTTTAGCCCTGAGCTAAATTATACCAAAAAAAGCTTCTTTAACGCCTCAGTGATTTTGTGGCTATTTGTAAATAGACTGGACCAAACGTTAGGGATATGTTGAATTTTGATATTCATAATGATCTAGTAATATAAATACCAATATTCCTAACTTACTTCGTCCAGTAGAAGTCTGGATCCGAAAATCCACCGATTAGTATGCTCATGAATCTACGTAATAGGGATATGACATGAAAGCAAGCGTAATGACGTCATCGTTAGTCGCCAACACCATATCTAACCCAAATCTTCAGGGGTTACATATTTCTAAATTAAATTCTTTACAAAAATTACCGAGACTATTCCTAAGGATAGTATGTACGAATGAGGGATGAGTGAGTAGAGGTCAGGGTGCAGAAAACTGGCATGAACTCCTGGAAATACAAGTTTCTGTAGTACTGGAAGTCATAATTGCATAACTTATACTCACAGCAAGCAGGTGTTCGGGCTGATGTGATAATGTATATTGAGTGGATAGATGAGCACGTATGCACTTGGGATAGCATTATTTGTATGAATGAAGTCTTATGAAGCTGCTGACGCTTGTCGGTACAGTCGACAGGTTGTTTAATCGTATTTAAACACTCGTTTCCCTTCACAAACCCTTCTGTTTAAGTTTGGGTGAGAAGGCTTACCCTTCTAGGCTGAAGAAATTCGTGTAAGATCTTTTAGTTAAATCTTTCCAAGACGATGAAAGAAGTTTTCTTTTTGACAACCAGTTCGTCAGTGTGGTACCAGCTCCATTGAACTCTAATCTCTTCACTATTCTCCCAGCCTTCATGACGTGGATGGCGACCTAATTGAAGGATATTAGCGAGTTTAACGCTGGAGTGAGCAAGATTCCAGTTATGGTGGTGTAAAATCATAGAATGTGAACCAGGCAAGGTATGATTAGTGTAATATTATTTACACAATTTGGATAGGATGACCGTCAAAGTCAAAACCTTCGACCCGATCTTGTTTGTCGACTTTAACAAGCATGGATAACAGGGTTGGTGAATGCAAATTTTAAACCTGATCTTTGAAGAGTATTTGAAGAAGCTTATGTTCAAACGTTAATTTGTTATTCGTGGATTAATTTCAAATTAAAAATATGACAGTTATATAGATCATTAAACAGACCCTAGGGCACAAGGATGTTGGAAGAACAGATCAAGATATTGACAGTGAAGTTTAAGGATGTTGACTCGCTGTGTCGAGGCTGAACCTTAGTGCAAGAGAAGAGAACTGAGGATTATTGCACTTTCGATTTAGTGAGCGAGTTCAGTTTTACGCCGCATTTTGCATTGTTCCCGCAATATCGGGAGAGAAATACCTTTGAAGACCTATTTTGTTCCAGTAGTTGAGAAGAAGACTCCTGAAGTGTGTCGAGCAGGGAAGACTCGCATTTCCAGTGAAGCAGCCGGCAGGCAACTTCGATGAAATCGGCGCATCGTAGGAGACTTTCGGGTTGTACCATGTTGATCTGGAGGATATCTTGTTCCCAGTTACTATTCTCATGGCAAGAATCCAGTCGCCCATGTATACGAAATCTGAAGCATACCATAATGGAGTTTATACGACTACACATGGAAACATGTCTGGAGGGGTGCATGGTTTATGAATTACAGACTTATTCCGTCAGTCATGGAAACTCGCGAAAGCCAATCGGAACTTCGACAAATGGGATAGTACCTAGATCAACTGAGATGTTATAGATACGAGGGCGCATCAGATAGTGACCGATTACTGAAGTGTTCAATTGTTATTGGTTTAAATGAAAGCGCATTTAGATTGCGAGAACTAAACTTGTCGCATGCACTTCATATATCGAAGTGAATCTTTACGTGTAGATACCTACATGCAACCCTATGTGTTGCAAGTTGGTTGCTGTGTAACGCCTCAAAATATTCCTTTTATATGGTGGCGGTGTGTAAACAGTCTGGATCAGACAACCCGGTGATTCAACAGCATGAGCATCAATGTACGTAATTGGGATACCATGACGTGTTCAAGTCAGCGAGTCCGAATACTTGGTATTCGCCTTTGACAAGCATGGGTGGCTGACGACATTGTACTTACATGAGCACTTGAGTGCGCTTGCAGACCATTTCCCGTTAGCTTGACAAGAAATGGTTGTAGAGCCCGATCTGAAGATGTATCCTTTGTTACAAGTGTAGGTAGCAGTGAACCCATACGTAGTTTTCGACGCAACTACTTTAGCGTATCGTACAGCTGGCGGGGTTCCGCAATTTTTTTAACTAAAATTGATAGAAGGGTTATGATGAAGTCAGAAGTTATGTTAAGATTTTGCTAAATACTTATGGTGAAATTTAGTAGCCCAGTCCCCTGATCCCCCATATGTCCAAGTATTCAGGTATTTAAGCTTACTGTAACAGTAGAATTACATTAACGTAAATTCTGGAAATAGTCCCCACATGGGTTAAATGTGTAAAGCCTAAGGTGAGATCTTGTATACTTACGTGTGCAGGTCAAGGCAGGGGTTTCCCTCTTCCCGTCTGAAATACAGCGTGCTGTCGCTTTACCTGAAGGAGAGTACCCAACATTGCAGGTGTACGTGGCATCGGTGCCAACCGCTAGCGAGGAAAAGACAACCTTAGCATTGGCCACAGGAGGTGGGGGGTCCACAAACGTCGGAAGCCAGCTTGAGGAGGATGAGCATCGTATCGGCCGTGGCGTACCCTGCGAGGTACAATGGAGGGTACTTATGTATACGGTAAAAATGCATCCAAACAGAATCTAAGAAAAATGAGATATTAATGTATTATTTGAAATAATTAGGAGTCAATGTTGATATCTGATGTTTGAGATTGCATGACTTGCACGTTCCAATCACTATGGCTGTACAGTAACCGCTCTTGAATGATTGTAAGACGTGAAATTTGTATTTGCACGATTTAAGTTTTAAACCAAAAACGAGGGTTAGAAACACTGATGCATGGTCAGAAAATTACGTACAGAGAGTTACTTTTTGAAAAATTGACTAATAATGGCGCCCCATGCAAGTGTGGTGGGAGCTAATGCGTTGGACGTGCATCCCATGCGTTTGGTGATAAGAGAAATGGTGTTCACAGGATGTCCGTCTCTTAAAATTGAAACTGAAAAGAGAACTTCTCAGTTCACGCTTCCCTACTTTGTTTTAAAGAGTATACTTCCGAGCGCTGAGGTAATACGTCTCGAAAGTTCAGTAGATCTACAAACATTTCCTGAGATTGCATTTAAGGAAAAGTCTGTTGGGCAAGTATGCCAATCGTTTGATGGTAATGATTCATAGCGAAGGTTCAGACCTAAAGGATCCATGGCGGTTTGGATTTAAGGTATAATTAAAGACCAAGTACAGTCAATGTAAATGTTAAGATAGGGCATCATCGTTCATGTATGAACGGATAGAACTGTACTGACGTTACAGTATGCGAGGAATGAAGTATGTCCAGGCGATAGATCACTACGCGATTAGGGTTTAACATACGAGTGGAAACAAGTCATGTGAACCTTCGTGCCGAGTGAAAGTCGGGGGAAAACATGTACCCTATGTAAACGGTCAAGACTATGCGCCACTACAGAACCTTGTTATGTCATATGGTTGACGTTCTGTCTCATGGAGTAATGAAGCCGTCTTGGAGTATTAGCACCGATGTTATGTTGGACATCGTCGAGATATGACCCAGTTCAATGAATTGCGAAATGGCATGTTCAGAAAGCAAGTCTTCATACCTGTTGATCTTTCATTGTATTTATAGTTGGAATATCTGATCCTTGGAAATGAACTTCCTTTATCGTATGAGCAAGTACCGGCAGCGGTATCTTTTACGACAAGCCATCCGCTGTCTTTACTGCAGCCGCCCCAATTCCGGTTGATGTACCAGTTTCTGTAATCTGCGGGACTAGAAAATAGAAATGTAATAAGATAGTATTATGGTACAAGATCCTAGGAATATAAAAATCAGTATCCCTGGCGGAATGTGAATGTCCAAGTCTTTGGTCAATATTAGGTGTACACACTGATTTCCGAAGTTTGGAACGTAGGGAACGTGTGTGGACGAAGTTTAGTCATATCCAGGTGGTCTTTGCATGAAAGATGGAAGGGAATGCGAGTTCAGGTCGTTTGTCGCTTTTAGCAGTATGCGAGCAAATAGAGGAATCTGTAAGTAAACAGTGTAAGAATATAAAAACAGATTCCTGGTCATTGCTAGGACCAATAACCTCTGAGAGTTTGCTCCTGCGAGATAGCTAAGGTGAGGTGAAATTGGGTTATTACGTCGTGCTTGAGAATATTTCGCTCATATGACGACGTGCATGTATGTGTATGTGCGGCTGCTTGTACTAGCCCAGACTTAAGCCAAGCTGGTTTTATAGTGGTAGCCCACTGAGATACCATGGCGCAGTGAAGCATGAATACCCCACTCAGACACATTATACTGACTCCGGGCCGACCAGTCCTTGTTGTACCCATTAATGCTGAGCGCCAGGCAGGGACCAACAAGTACCATATTTTAACGTCTTTTGGTATGACGCGGTCGGGGGTCGAACCCGCGACCTTCCGCTCTCCGGGCGGACGCTCTAACCACTACACCACGGAAGCGGTAGATAAAGCTAAAGCTTCTGGAGACATGAACACGGTACATACGGGTTGGCATAAGATTACACAGACCATGTCGATGCCCATGGATGTCCTTGTACAAAGTGCAACTATTCTGGCGTTAATAGGGACATTACGTAATTAATACTTACCCATCTATCGCGAAATAGTTCATAGAATATTTGTAATATAAAGGAAGATTTTTCCAAGTGGAACTCCGTAGCTTCTTTCTGGAGAACCAGTTGAGGTAGTTCGTTCCTGCAGGGTTAAAGTCCAGTATTCTAACTGCCGACTTCTTTTTTAAGAGCACAACGCGGACCTGTGGACAAAGTACAAAGATTTTATCAACAGATGGGTAGTTTTGTCTCGTACAAATTTGATAGAGGAAAGGACATAAAATTGTACATGGCCATGACTTACTCGAGTAAGAATTCGTGTGTACACCTGTTGACAAATGGCAGATGGCTTATTTTGGTAACCGGGAGATTAAGATTTCGTAAGCTTTAAAAGGAAAATATTGATAGCCTGGGTGAAAGTTTCGTGGGCGAGTTGTTAGTCGTTTTGCAAGGGTACAAGAAATGATAGCAAGGGCGATTACTGTATTCACATATTAAACAGGGGTATGGGAGAAGATTGAGTCGAGAATAGTTGGAATTGAAATAGCACGTCTGTTTAACATTTAGGAAATCAGGAAGGGAAATGTGTTTGTGGATAGGATGCTGATGAGTGATGAGGGAAGGTTTTAGGGTATATATATACATGTATTTGTATTAATTTTGCGTTGCCAGGGAACCTTCTATAGTGTGCAGTGCAGTAACTTGGATTAACCTCCAACTGTATGGAGTTTCATAATGGTAGAAATAAGGCGTAAACAATTCATAAAATTTAATTCAGTGAAGCTTCTTTACGATATTGGTTTTTGGTACTAGTACAGAACAGGATTCGTTATGAACATACGCGTTTGAATTAGGTAGAGTACTGGAGGTAGTGTATGGAAGTGAAGGTAGATTTGGGATAGATGGTTTATAGAAACATATGTAATTTGTTTAGTTTTAAGCCGCTTTTAGCAATATTCCAGGGGGGGGGGGGGGATACCAGAAATGCTTCACACAATTGAGCGCATGTGGGGAATTGAACCCGGGTCTTCTGCGAGAAGAGTGAATGGGTAGCTATGCCCTGTTTCAGCACCTAAACATGTTCTATAAACCTTTTGTATTATATTTCTCTTGAACTGTCAATCTTCCGTTTTCAAAGATCGCTTTAGCAAAAAAGCTGTCATAGTAAATTTTGGAGGGGTTTTATAACTTGTAACTACTTATAGGGATTTAAGTTTCTAAACTAAACAGTTTAAACAGAACATGTACATGAAAGATTAAACATTTCATACCTCGACTTGGTGGAGACATTCTTAAAGTCGCGAGAAAGCAAAAATTCATCTTGGATAGCAGAATTCTTTCAAATATATCTGATTTTACTATTGTTTTTAGGTAATAGTGATAACGGATTATGTCAGGAAATAAGGGGAAAATACCCTCTTCAAACCAATCTTGGTCCAGTAGTTGAGCAGCGTACTCCTGAAATGGGTGTTACAGGGCAATGACGTATCGTACGTGACGCAGCCAGGTTGGAGAGACTTGGGTATTGGGAAGTCCCGTTTGATGGACTTATCCTGCCAAGTCTTGGCCGAGTTGACACCGTTACCAGGGATTATCCTCATGCCCAAAACATTGCCGTTGATGTAGGAAAATTCTGAAACAGGATAGTATTGTTAGTTGAGCGCTTTGAAACGTGGGGGTAGCGTGTTTGTATAGGAAAATATTCGGATGAGCTGTTTGACTGGCATTTAGTAGCGATACATAGGCATCCATAAACCTGTATGAACAGTTTGGGAGCAGCTCTTACATTAACCTGATGAACGAGGAAGGATATATGGTGGCGTGTGGTCCTGTACAGCCGAGTTCACGAAGGTAAACGGCGAGCTAGGAGAGTCCTTTGATGGGCGACTGTTTGGGAGCTCTACTGCCTTGAGCAGTCTTGACTTCAGTCCTGCACCACAACGAAGCACATGCGATACATGTGGTCTCAGCTTAGGCAAGCGAGTTTGTTCAAAATTGCCCGTTCACCCAGCAGAAAAACGGGTACCCGCTTGGATAAAGTCATGTGAGTAACCTAACAGGCAGCTTGGGTTATCCGGGGTAATCATCAGAATCATTCTGATAAAGTGCTGCGAGGAATCACTGACTTGGTTTTACGCCGCTTTAAGCAATATTCTAGCAACATCACGGCGGGGGACACCAGAAATGGGCTTCACACCTTGTGCCCATGTGGGGATTCGAACCTGGGTCTTCGGCGTGAAGAGCCAACGCTTTAACCATTAGGCTACTCCATCGCCCTGCGAGCAATCACTTGCTGTTTGCAGACTGTGGTACGACTTCATTATATTATATGTTGAAGGTGTTTATGAAGTTAACATCAATGAATTTGCACCAAGCAAATTTCTGGATAAGAGCCAATTTGTCCGCCGTGATATTGTTTGAATTTTGAAAGGGTGGAAAAATCCAGAGGTGAAAGGTTTGTTGGGCTTACGTCAGACGCATCACCGAGTGATGTTTTCTGATGTTTCGTTAAGAGGGTCGCAACTACATTTAGTACACCGATGTTATAACGTCACTTCCGGTTTGTTTAAATACATAAAAAACGTTTGTAATGGCGTTATGGACAGACAATTGCAACAGCGGGTTGGCCTTACGGGAGCACTTTAGGCTTGGAGTTGACCATTTCTTGCTTGCCAAGCAGGCGATGCTGAAAGAGCCAGATCTCCAAGTGAAACCTTGTTTGCATTTGTAAGTGGCTTTAGCACCGAAGAGGACAGAGGGTGCGGAAACAGTAGCGTCCACGACGGTAGGGGGTGGACCACAGTTAGTGACTGAAAAATCAAAACGCAGAATGAAAGATTAAGATCTTGTAGTTTGACAAAACAATAGAATTGAAGTAGCAAAGGATATATTTTAACAAAACTATATTTACGTCCTCGGTGTAGACACAAAGAACTTGGCACAGAAACCTCTGGAACTGTAAATGTAGTGGGCGAGAGTGCTAATAGTTTTGAATTTATGAGGATTGTGACAAATTGGTAAAAGAATGGCTAAATGCGCGGGGTTTTTTTTTATTTCAAATAGTTGTACACAAGCAACCAACACTTTCGGTATATTCGTAGGATTTCATGCAAAACAAATGTCCAACTATGTCTGGAAGCACAAAATACGGGTTGGCATACAAGATTGGTATGCATGTGGAATATACGGGTGGATAAAGTTTGGTTATACTTACTTGAACATTTGTAGTTTGTTGAGGACCATGTACCACCAGCTTTGCAGAGGATTGTCCGGGTGCCGCTTGCCTTGTAACCAGGCTTGCAACTGTAGGTAGCAACCTGGCCTACGGTGGTTGCAGGTGCGGTTACGAAGGCATTGGATATGGTTTTCGGCGTGCGGCAATCGAATACTGAAATATTATATATATATATATATATATATATATATTATGAGAGTGGTCAGAAGGGTGAAGCTGAGGCGTACGTTTCATACACTTAGTGATTCCATGTACTTGAACCGCGTGGTAGGATTTTGCCAAAGGCTTGTGTCTAGGTTTACTTGTTCAAGGTAAATGTTGAGAATGTATGAGGTGTACAAGTTATGAGTGAGCGAGTTTAGTCTTACGGCGCACTGAGCAATATTCGAGTTTTATGGCGACGGTCTGTAAATAATCGAGTTTGGACCAGACAATTCAGTGAGCAACAGCATCGATGTACGCAATTGGGATATGATGACATGTGTGAACCAAGTCAGCGAGCCCGACCACCCGATCCCGTTAGTAGCCTCTCACAAGGATGGGTTACTGAAGACCGATTCCAACCCGGATTTTCAACATTTTCTAAGTTGAGAATGTTGAAGTGTGCATCGATAACTTGAATTGAAGGCCAATTATATATGGTGATGTTTCTAAATTTTGACTAGTGTCTTTGCAGTTTCAGTAGTACATTACTGGCATATAGCAATATACTTTTCAAAAACTATACGTAGTGAATTTAACCGGTATATTGGGCAATATATGAAGTTGTGATCATCGGCATCATCTAAGTGAAATATACCGATAGTTTACACCGAACGGACAACTGAACGGACAATTGAACCGACATCACGTTTTTTAAAGATATTTTAAACAGAATTACTGAAACATTTACTCAAATTCTCAGCTTGTTATCATAATGACACTTGTATGGCTTTAGTACATATGATCGGTACTAAATATGCAATGTCATTCAGTTTCAGAGACTGAAGTTCGCAATGTATTGTAATAAGCATGGGAATATTGCAATATGTTTTATCGTCCGAATCACAGCACAAGGCAGGGAGATACAGCTGGATTTCATACTTACATGTACAGGTGTACGAGAGCGAGGTCCACGTTCCATCTGCTTGGCAAGTTATCTGTGGCGAGTTTTTGCCAGCGTAGTATTTGAGGCAGGAATAGGTCACTTTGGCACCAATGGCTATTGAAGAGTAGGACGCGGTAGCACCCTGCAGAGTTGGGGGTGAACCACAGACATCAGCGGCAAGCTTCACGTAGATTCCCATAGAATCTGCTTCTCTGTAGTCTGAAAGATAGTTGAAAGGTTGGTTGCTGTTTTAACGCAGCAGAGGGGAATAGTTCAGCTATATGGTTACATAGAATCTGATCTTGATCGGCATGATCAATTGACGGAATTGGGATAAGACAAGTGAAGAAGTCGGCGAGCTTCATTCTGTTGAAGTAGGAATTAGTCGCCTCTTATGAAAAGCATGGGTTGGCGAAGGCCAAGTTTAAATATTGGATTTAGGTGCGATCAGATGTTTTATCGGTAGGATTACTGTAAGAATTTGCGTGGACGTTGACTTACAAACTGCATTGCCGTAGTATTTGTTGGAGTTGGAGAACCTGACCACAGGGAATTTCTTTATCTTGTCATATCCACATGGTCCGTTTCTGGCCGTGTCTTTGACGAGCATCCAACCAGAGTCACTTCTGCAACCACGCCACGATCGGTTGATGTACCAGCGTCTGTACGTGTAGCTGAAACAGTGGTCAATATGGAGGTGAAGAATGAGTTTAGGTTTACGCCGCACTCAATACTTGTCGAGGTATACGGCGGCGGTGTGTAAATAATGGAGTCTAGATTAGACTGATCAACAGCATGAGCATCGATTTTCGAAATTGGGAAGGAATGACATTTGTCAACCAAGCCAGCGAGCCCGACCGTTAGTCGCCTCTTACGACAAGCATGGGTTACTGAAGATCAATTCTAACCCGGACCGTTATGGGTCTGGATGTGACTAAGCACATACAGCTGTGTTTGACGTGGCAGCTTGCGATTTAAGGGAGATTACATTTCCAATCAGTAAAGTTGGAGAAAAAGATATATACACACTGAGCATAAAAACAGTCAGTACTAGGCGAGGTGAAATTGGGTTTAACGTAGTGCTTGAGAATATTTCTCTCATATGACGTGCATATGTGTGTGTATAAGTGGCTGCTTGTACCAGTACAAATGGAAAATTAGATAGGCACTGTAATAAAATCATTACAGAAATGGACAAAGTGGAACAAAAACATTGTGTACATTATCTTGACAATGAATAACTCGGCACAATGTCAAGACATGTGAACGTTTGCAGTCCATTTAGACCCTCGACTTCAGTATCTAGTGAAGACCACCACGAGCGGTAATAACTGCCGGACAACGTCTATGCATGGAGTGCACCAATCGATGAAGGCCATTTGCACCTGGAACCACGCTCTGAGAAAGGCCTGGTGCAATAAATCGGCTGTGTTCGGCCTTGGTATGACATTCAGTCTCCTTTGAATTACATCCCAAAGTTCAATAGGGATCAGAAGGGCTGGCAACTGCATAATGTTGACACCGTTCTGCTGTAGAAGTCCCGTGTAGCTCTGGCATTATGGGCCCGGGCGTTATCATGCTGGAAAAACATGGTGTTTCGGTGACGTGCGAAATGTGGTATATCGTGGGGTCCGAGAGTTTGGTCGATGTAGCGCACCGCCGTGATGCCTCTTCTCCCTGACCAAGGTGTTGGAACACCACATGACCCACGCTGGCCACGTCGTTGCCATATTCTTGTCCTGCCATCTGCAGTTGATACGCAGTACCGGTCATCTGTTAACAGAACATGTCTCCATTGCCTGTGTCGCTAGTTTTGGTGTTGTAGGGCAAACTGTAGACGTTCACGGCGATGACGAGGTGTGAGGATAGGTCAACGTAAGGTGTACGGCAATGGAGGATCCTTCTGTTAAGACGTCGGCGTACTGTATCAGATGCCTGCATGAAGGGATTCTTTACATCCTGTCGCAGAAGATGGCGGTCTTGTTTGTGGTGGTCCTTGGTATGCCAGTACGGGGGCGATCATTTGTGGTGTTGGTGGCCCGGAAACGTTCCTGCAGCCTGTAGATGGTCCGAACGTTGACCTGCAACTGATTGGCAACGGCTTGTGCAGTATGGCCAGTTTCAAGTCTTCTTAGCGCCTGGTTCGTCCGAGCTGTCGCGAGTCTCTGCATGCTGCAGACGTTGTAATGTGAATGTTTCAACCAGGTTAGGTTCATGTTATAGGGCTGGTCCTTGCGAACAGCACGAGTTGCATGGAAAACATTTAGAACACAATATCATCTCCGAGATGAGGTTGCGTTGACCAATTCCTGGGTTCCATTCTGAGTTTGGGTAGGAATGTCTTTAATCATGTAAAGTTGGAGATGTTGTCGAAAATATAGAATCAAAATATTAAATATGTTTACAGTTACCGTTTCTCTGAAAATTCCAAACTGACGTTTGTTTTGCTGCGTAGTATATAGATATATGTGAGACAGATAATGTATCTTAGATAGGGCAGAGGAGAAAATAGCTGGCCTTTCACAGCATGCATTTTACGCCGATAAACCGGTTGGGCCTTTGAAGCATGGGTTTAGGTGGTAAGTGCATCGTCCATTCAGCATGTGCCCCGATGGGCTGAATGCGTTTAAAGTATATCGTGGAGGTATGCAGTGGCGAGAAATGAGCGACATTACTTTTAAATAGTGAGCAATATTCCAGTTCTATGGTGGCAGTGTTGTCCGGACCGGACACTCCAGTGTTGACCATGATCACTCTACGAAATTGTGATAAGATGACGTGTCAAGTGACCGAGCCTCACCATCCGATTCCATTAGTTGCGTCTCGAGACAATCAGGGGTACGCGAACACCGCTTGGTGTTGATAAGCACTACATGGCTGAAATGTTACCAAGGCTTCATGAATTAATGTTACATAATGTAAAAGAAAACTAGAAACAGAAACTACTAGTATGTAGTTTTTCTCCCTCTTAATGAAAAGTGACGCAATTTCTTGTTCAACAAAATGAACAATACCCGCCGTAAGCCTTTAGAGCAGGTGCCAGGGTGAGGTATGTTCGACTCAACGTACGTTTGCCTTACTTACAATTTGATGGCGAATCTGTTGAATGTCTGCTTGGTGATTTTATACCATGAAGAGGATATGAGCTTTGCTTTCGAAAACCAGTTCATGCGGTTGGTGCCTTTGCCGTTGAATTTGAAATAGTAACTTTTTCCGCTTTTGGACAAGACCACTAGAACCTGAAAGAATAAAATGGTTCCATCAGAAACGTTGGTTTACTGTTTGAAGGAGAGAAACAGTGAATATACATTAAACATTGTCCGTTTGCTGTACGGAGAACAGCACAATTTTGGAATGTGACAAGATACAGTAATATTCAGAATTTATTTAGGTCTCTTTGCAAAGAAATTAGCGGGCGTATTGATTTAGCGATATCCACGCTTAGAAAACAACAAGCCTTAGTTGAAGATGCAAGGAAGTGGTGCATGTTTAAGTACGGGAAATGTGGTCGATGGGCTTATAGGCCAAGATTTTTTTATAAAACCATAACAGTCTTCGCTTACGTTTGTTCGATAGAAATGGGGCGTACCTCTAAAATGCCAGCCTTTCCCCAATCGTTGACGATACTACTTTTGAAGTGAGTTGAACAGGCTTTGGACTTTTCCTGGACGAAACATCCTGGTTGTATCGAGGTGGACAAAAGAGGGCTGTCGTGGGCGATGGCGTTGTTTTCCCACGTTGGAACAGTGCTGACGCCATTTCCGGGAGCAATGCGAAATACAAGCACCCTGTTGTTCTTGTAGACAAAATCTGCAACAAAATCTGACGACTGAATGTGGGGAGCTACTTGACTGACGCAAGCTGTAGAAGTAAATGGTTTAAGAAAGGTTATTTAAGTTCATAAAAAAATTTTTATAGGCGTCGAGGTTTCGGTCTCATTCTGAACAGAATATATATTGGCATGGAAACAAAGGATGGAGATCAAGCTTGTAGCAATCTTGCAGCATCAAGGCGGCGGGAGACCAGATAAGCCGTTTACTAATTGTAACCATTCGGGGTATTGAACGCTTGTCTGGTTCGAGGAACTAACGCTTTAACCACTAAGTTGCTGCAGGTTAACGCAAGGGATACAACCTTTATGTCGGGTTGACAAGGCTGAAGTTGCCAATGCGAAAAACAGCAAGGATTAAGGGCTGAGACAATGTCACAAAAGCGTGAAATTTCACAATGTGGGTATATGTACCTTATTGTGGGAGGGCATCCTGGAAGTAAACGTCAGATAGTGGTAAATGGTACTTACGCGTACAAATGCGATCCATTGGTGTCCAGGTACCATCTGGTCGACATATTGAGATAGGGGTGCCGCGAAGTCTGAAGCCAACGTTGCACGTGTATGTTGCCGTTGCGCCAAATGTCGTGATGGGGGCGCTGACACTTGCACGAGCGACCACTGGAGGCGAGCCACAGTTTTTAACTGAACAAAAATACATGATAGCTATTAAGTTGCTGTCAACGTTCATATTCAGAAGTTATACAATATATAAATATGCACATAAAATCTGACAAATGTATGAAAGTAGGACGTATCTAGCTCACAAGACAAGTGATCGCCAAGGCTGTATTCGATATTATCCAGATGTAAAGGGTGAAGCAGACAATTCAATGATGGATATGCATATCTGTACAATCGTGATGCAAAGAATTTCAACAACTTCAGCGAGCCCTGTACACCCGTTCCTTCTTACAACATGGTTGGCGATGGACAAAAACAGTTATTCCGGGGGTTAGCTTTGCTGAGGTAGCTGTAGCTATGAGAGCAGACATGGGCGTCACACATTGCAGTCATGTGGGGAATCGAACCCGGGTCTTCAGCGTGAAGAGCTGACGCGCCGTTAGGCTATCCTACGCCCTTATGTCTATAGTACCCTCCGTCTATGTACTTACCGACGCAGGAGGTGGCGTGGGCCGACCATGTCCCATCCTTCTGGCAGGAACTCAGACCATGTCCGCTGATGCTGTAACCGGAATTACAGACGCAGGTTGCAACGTCTGCAAGTTTGCCATGCGTTGCCCTACATACACCATTTGTTAAGCGGGGGACGGTGCCACAGTTGCCCTCTGAAAAATGAACATTCCATGGAGGCAATCTATATTTATGCGTTTCACATCATTAACAGAACATAATGTTCATTGTGCAAGTTACTTTATTAAAAGTTCATCGTTTAACGTTATAGTCGGCAATATTCCAGCTATATACGGCTTCTGTAACCAGTTGTTCGGATCAGACAATCCAGTGAACAAAATTAGCATCGATATCGAATGACATTTGTCAACCCAACCAAGTCAGCTCGCCGGATGACCCGACCGCGTTAGTGGCCTATTGATATTAGCATATGTTGCATAAAGCCGTTGTAACCCGAACCTTCATTGTGACATTTGAGATCAGTTGGTATATAGTCTTGAATGACTGATGTATTAGTAAAACTTTTCATGTGTGGAAAGTCAAATTTATGGAGAGCCTAAATTTGTGAAATTTAAACTTCAAGTAGGAGTATCCTGCATTTGAGTAAGACCGTCTATAGCAAAGCTAGGCCCAGCTATATATTAAAGACGAAAAGGGGATATTTTTGGTGAGCGAGGAAACACCAGGCAAACTTTTCAGGAATGTTGCCGAATTTTGCAACATTTAATTTTAAATTCTTACGTGGAATTTTATACGCGTGTACCGTCATTTTAAATATTGAAATTTCTCAAAACTTAATGACCTCTGAATAAACTTCGTGTCAATTGGTCAACTGATAATTGTTCCTTGTTTGAAAATTACGTGCGAACTGGCTTCCATTGCTCCAAGATTATACATTTGGATCTGCACATACAGGTAGCATGGGAATGGGACACGATTTATACTTACGGTATATTCCGAGTGCAGATTTTCCGCTGGGGAAGAAAGCAATGGCTAGTTTGTTGGACGGAACATAGTTGGACTCTGAAAGGAAATGTTTAGAAATCAAGGAAGTGAGCTAAGATGGATTATACCATCTAGTAGTAAGTGAAGGGGACAAGATGTATTCAAACTTGGTTGAGCAAATAATTAACCGTCATGGTAATGTTTCAGTGTAGATTAAAGTTGCAGTGCGAGTAGACTTACTACGGAAAGCTTTTGGGCCATGCTGCTTATACATTTCCTGAAACTTCAAGAACACAAACAGCATGGCATTTAAAGGTTTCGTAGTTGGCTATGGAAGCAGCATTTTAGACCCAAGTCATACTTTATTCTGCCTCGATATTTTTTTTTTTGGGGGGGGGGGATTTACAGTTGAGTTAACATACATAATCTCTGTATTGCAAGGCCTGGAACACATCATTCAGTGGTCAGCAGCAAGCATTGGTAAAGTCATATCGTGGCGACTAACAAGTGATAAGATGGGATACATTGATGTAGGTATTCAGTATTTGAAGTTGGGAGAAAATGTAATATTTAGAGGTAATTATCAATTATCAATAATAAAGTTATTTAAAAAAACACGCAGATGGGGGGGGGGTAGTTTTGTTGGGGGAGGAGAGTGTCTTATCTTTTTGGAATCTTTAAACAATGTTACGATGTAATTCAGGAAAGTGCTCTTGAATACATGAAGGTAAACGTTGTCCTGTGAAAGGGAACTTACTGCAAAGACCGCAACTGTGCGCGCAGGACACCATGTAGGTCGGAGTGTTGCAGAACTTAGCCTTCACAATTGCTGCACAACCTTTCTCATCTAGTTTGAAGCATTGTACTGGAATAGAACAGGAGTAACGTTGGTTACTTAACGCAGCAGTATTCCAACTCACTTTTGGTCCAAGATAGATGACCTTGTATTCTTGCCATTAAAAAAGTACGTACGTGTATAGTTTTGAAAAGAGAATAACTAGAAAATTGATGTGACGAAGACAATTGTATTGTTATGAATGTTTAAAAAAAGTCAGTTCGTTAGGTTGATTAACACCTCAACCAGCAATATTCCAGCGATATGGCGGCGGTCTGTAAATAATCGAGTCTGGACCACACAATCCTGTGATCAACAGCATGAGCATCGATCTGCGCAATCGGGAACTGATGACATGTGTCAACCAAGTCAGCGAAACTGACCACCCGATCCCGTTAGTCGCCTCTTAGACAAGATAGTCGCCTTTTTATGGCAAGCACATGGGTTGCTGAAGACCTATTCTACCCCGGATCTTCACGGGTCTCTAGTATTAGCAAGAACACTCACTTGTAACATGGGTATTGCCATAGCCGTAAAGACGTTACAGGAAGTAACAAACGTTGCAAAGTGTCGTTATGTAACGGGCCATATTAGAAGAGATGACGGAGGTCATGAACAAGGTCATCTTGACAGCTACTTATACGTTACTAACAGCTCGATCCGCAAGCCGAGCACCTGTACGTAACACCGTTTATTAATTCTCTTGTAAGCCGAAATCGCAATATTACTCACCAAATGATGGTACACAGACGCAGTTTGTCGAGTATAGGACCAGTGGGCTTTGACAGCTCTTCCGGCACGTTTCTGCAAAAAAAGGAATACCGTAATTGTTGAGAGAGACTGGGAAATACAGTAGCGTTTGCTCGCATGAATTAGTGAGCGAGTTTTACGCCGCTTTTAACAATATTCCAGCAATATCACAGCCGGGGAACATCAGAAATGGGCTTCGCGCATTGTACCCATGTGGGGAAATCGAACCCGGGTCTTCGGCGTGATGAGCGAATGCTTTAACCAGTAGGCTGCCCCACCGTCCCTCGCATGAATTAAACTGGCACTTGTAATAGAGCCGACAATTAGAGGTCTCATTAACTTTAGGTTAAGGAGTATTGTTTTAATGCCGCTTTTACGAATATTTCAGCAATATCACGGCGGGGGAGGTATGTGTAAGCTTTCAATTGTCACGAGCACGCGGGACTATCAGAAAGATCAAATATATAGTTAAACCAGGATGTCATGCATGCAAACATGAGCGTTATTACAGGGAACACTTGTGATCGATCCGTCAAATTTGAAACTTTGCTTCCATAAAATGAAATTTTTACTATCGTACTGAACGTTGTGAATTGCCAACGAGTATTTGCGCGCCGTTTTGAATGCAGAAATGCGGCAGTGTATTTTACGGGCATATATAACAAGCCATTGGGCGAAGGGTCATCATTTGTGTCCTGGCGAGCAACCTGCATAATGGAGTCATGTCAGGAGCACGTTCTTATGAAACCGTCATAGCGAGCGACTTGGGTTTAACGCCGCTTATAGCAATATTGCAGCTATATCACGGCGGGAGACGCCAGATACGGGCTTCACACACAGTACCCATGTGGGGAATGGAACCCGGGTCTCCAGTGTGATAAGTTACCCGTTTTAACTTCTTTGCTCCCCACCGACCCTAAAGTCGCCAGAAACGTGCCATGGGCACAAGGACGTATTGCACGAGCAGGACGTGGGCTAGTCAAAGGTTACTCTGGGCACGATAAGCAGTGTCCCCGCTTGAAATATTGAGATTAAATACACCCACAAAAAAGGTAACACTGTTAAATTGAAATTGCTTTTAATATTAAGCAGATGTTGTACTTACTTCCGGCTGTCCATCCGCAGAGAACAAGCACTAGCAGACAGGACAACACCAGACTGGGTGACTGAAAGTTGAACATCGACGACAATGAAATTTACGTTTGCAGAAAAATGGAGACCGTATCTTGAAAACACCGATGGGGCCAGTCACAATAACACGCAAAGGCAAAGCAATTACACTATACCGAAGACATGGCCAGGACAAATAGAGAGGGGCTAAAGCATAGAAAATGCGACCCCAAAACTGTCACTGGGAAAACAAACTCCGCCCAGAACGATGTCTAGTGTGACTGTACAAGAAGCATATATCCCTTCGGTAAGTCTAGCAGTTCATTTAACGTGGTAAGACCTATCAAGTAATAAAATGTAATACCGTATTTCCTTTATTAAGCGCCGGGCCTCTATTAAGCGCCGGGCCTCTATTAAGCGCCGGGCCTCTATTAAGCGCCGGGCCTCTATTAAGCGCCGGGCCTCTATTAAGCGCCGGGCCTCTATTAAGCGCCGGGCCTCTATTAAGCGCCGGGCCTCTATTAAGCGCCGGGCTCTCTATTAAGCGCCGGGCCTCTATTATTAAGCGCCGGGCCTCTATTAAGCGCCGGGCCTCTATTAAGCGCCGGGCCTCTATTAAGCGCCGGGCCTCTATTAAGCGCCGGGCCTCTATTAAGCGCCGGGCCTCTATTAAGCGCCGCGCCTCTATTAAGCGCCGGGTATAGACCTTTGCAGTTTTTCGCAAATGTATTCTCCCTTGGTCTAAAAATATATATATATTAAGGAATGGTCCCTTAAATCATAACTTCCTGTACTCATCCCCGCTTTTAAAAATACAGGGTATTTTAATAAGCGCCGGGCCTGGAGGTCCGCTGAAATAAGCGCCTGAGGCGCTTATTAGAGGAAATATGGTATGTTGCAGAGGAGTTTTGGTTCAGTAAATGATGTTATATTTCACATGTGTATAACAAAACAATACTGTTAATTTAAAGATTTTAAGGATGTATGTAATCTATAATACACGTTACATTTGATTTGTATAATGTTGATTATAGAAACTGATTATTATAATATTTTCCTGAAATTACTTCGAATTCTGTTTATTTTGGACTCTTTCACTTATTATGCACATGTTTTATTCAAGGCCACACAAGGGTTCGTGTTACAGTCTGTACTTGAGACCTCTCCGCTACCAGGTAGCTGATGCGTGGTTTGCTGACGTCGCCATCGGTGTACACCCACTGAATGACGGTCAGTCGACTCTGCAAGGCAGTTGGATTGTCAGGGTTTTCCTCAAACCACTCTCTGAGGGCGACAACTGCGACACGGCTGTATGACTGGTATTCATCAACAGTTCATCAGCAGTCCGTAGCTACAAGGTATTGTTTTTTACAATAATTCCTTAAAACCCGACAAATCAGGGATGAACGTAAATCCTGCATGTAATTAACATTGAAGCTTTTGGAACAGAATTTCTACATTTCTATAGCAGAGTATGTACTACCTGTTACCTACACGTTATAATGGAATAGTCCAAATAAAAACACAGTGACAAACTGAAGCTATATTATTTATTTTGAAAGATGGACGAAAAGACAGTAATTTGAATTTTTATTGCTGCAATATTAAAACAGTTTATTTTCATAAACATTTCGGTTTAACCTTTTAGTCTAACGGTAGTCGGCATCATCATATTGAAAACATTAGCTTAGCTGTTAGAAATTCCGACACTGTTGTATCATATAAATCAAAAAGACAAATGTGAACCTAAATATTATTCATATGAAATAAAGAAGTTATATGTTTTGCACACAATATTATGATACATGACAAGTGCACTTAATTACGATTTATTTAGAATAAATATTTGAAAAAAGACGCATCATGTGAATGTGGCCATGGATGTGAGAATGTTTTTCATTACTTCTTTGAATGGTCATTGCATACTACTCAAAAACAGAAACTGTTACAGTCTTTAGAAAGTATTGTTAAAATTAGAACACTGATTGGTATTAATCATATCTTACATGGCAATGCAGGTGTCTCATTTATCTCTCCAACAAAAGTTTTCTCAATTAACTTCTGTTGTACATATGCTATTATTGGGAGGGGTCTTTTCTATCAATAAACACAATCAAACCTCTCAATGACAAAGCTGTTTTTATATTTGATAGTAATTGATAGTAAAATCAATTTGAGAAGACAAATCATTTATCATTTAATCACAACAAAGTTCTATTTACCCACAATCAAACTTCTCAGTAGCGAACCTGTTTCAGGCTCAACCCGCTCTACTCACTAGACAGTGGACTGTTCCATTATACCCGTAGGTGTTACCCTAATTAACCTTCTAGTTCAATGTCTGTCAACTGGGTGTCTGTCAATTGGGAGATAACCTAATTGTGTTATATATTTCTGGAATTGTTTGTGACAAGGGGCACCGTGGACTGTTATAATCAAAACAGTTTATTTGATTAAAGTCCCTTCTCGTACATGCGTTATTCACGATTTTAACAATCCATCAGGTGTGTTTTTTTGGAAATGGATTGTACCAGGTAATCCGAGTGGCTTTCTAGTCACGTGATGGAAAAGGGGAGTGCATTTCAAAGGCTGCAAGCATGTAGAACTAATCAAGACTTTTCGTACATTATCTGACTAATCTAGACAAAAGACTACTATTTGAGGTCTCAAATAGTTGAGAATATTCATGGAACTTTGTTTTAACTGAGTTTAAGTTCCATATTCCAATACCAAGTCCTGCCTTCTCAATTCAAATCCACACTGAAATACTCACGCGTACTGAAGACATCATGAGTGCTCGCCTCAGTTTGCTCATGTCGATCTGGTGAAGAGACTGTATGCTTTTATACCCCGTCACCGTGCCTGCGTATTTGACTGATACAATCCCGTTCCCGACTTTGGTTCTGGCATGTCATGTATGCGAAAGACGTTCTATCAGGTTTTCTATACATTTTGCTGCACTTCACTCTATATGTTGCGAGCGCCCAAACGCAACCGACATGCACGTGAACATCGTACCGGTTACGATACGGACGACTGTATTTCTTCCAGTTATGTAACCAAACACTTTCTTGGCCACTCAAATGTGATAAAATATTTCTTTGAAACCCATTGACACGGTTTTTATTCTCAAATTGCGACAAGACAGAGAATATCATCTGTAGACTTGTGTGATTTCATTAACGAAACACTCAATCTTTCATAGTTCTTTCTTTCGTGAATAAAATAGATTTTGAATTATACGTTTAATTATAAAGTTAGCACACTTTCTGGAAACAGCACGTAACTATGTCGTATTTTATATTTTCAAATAATTTCAAATTGTAGTGGACCTGTGAAGATCCACGTTGGAACTGGTATTCAGCAACCTATGCTTGTAAGAGACAACTAACAGAATCGGGTTAACACATGGTTCACACATGTCATTGTATCTGAATTGCGTAGACAGACGCTCATGATGTTGATCACTGGATTGTCGAGTATTTACAGACCGCCGCCATATAGCTGGAATATTGCTGAGTGCGGCGTAAAACTAAACTCACTCACTCAATCACTCACTGCTGAGTGTGGCGTTAAACAACAAACAAACAAAGAAATTAGCATGGCGTTGGGTTTTCCGATGATTCCTCTATACATAGTCGAGGGCGGTGGGGTAGCCCTGTGGTTAAAGCGTTCGCTCGTCACGCCGAAGGGCCCGGGTTCGATTCCCCACATGGATACAACGTGTGAAGCCCATTTCTGATGTCCCGCGCCGTGATATTGCTGGAACATTGCTACAAAAAAGCGGCGTAAAACCATACTCACTCACTATACAGTCTCTCTGCAGGTTTATCATTGGTGGCTATGGTGATGCAGTTGAAGTGGCTAGTAACCTTTCACTGTGGGTTCGAATCCCAGTACGATTAAGTTTTTAGGTTCGTTGTTACCATACCACCAAGGTGGTAAATTTCTAAGACCTGCAACCGACATTGGTTCAATGTATGAAGCCCATCTCTGGTGTCCCCCCGACGTGATATTGTTGAAATGTTGCGAGTACCTACAAACGGTTTAATCCGTCTGTGATTGCTTTCAATTTCAACAAATTAAAAACAATACGATTGTTCTCTTGACTAGTGGTGGTCCGATTAATTGAAATAATCGAAGATTGGTCGCAGTGGCCAAACGACCAAGCAATCGATCACATTTTCTCATAATCGAACAAAAACGATTTTGGAACCGCTGTAATAGAGTTTGAAATACTTGATGATGGAACATATCTAGCACGTTGTCAGGGCCTGAAAACGTGTTCTATTTCTAAGAAAACTCACTTCGCTTTCTGAAAAGTCATGACTGAATATTTCTTGAAAAATCTGGGAAGTAAAAATGTTACACTGGAATTAAATCATTTTCCACTGGATGTGAAATCTGCAAATGTAATTTGTGCAGTTTCTAAAAAAAACAACAGAGAACCAAATGTTTTTTTCTTTATACTTATCTATAACTACAACCTGAATAGGAAAATCTAAAAAATGACGCTAACAATTATTTTCGATGATTGGTCGTTGGTATTGAACCAATCATCAATTGTGAGATTTCAACCAATTCCCAACACTACTCTTGACACACATCGTGGTATTGATGTCTGGTACCTTTCCTATAAAACTATAGACATACAAATTGTCATCTTTCTTGGACCCAAAGTGAGAGTGCGTGACTGCGCGAGTGTGTGAATGTGTTTAGTTTTACGCCGCTTTTAACTGTGTTCCAGAATATCACGGTAGTGGAGGTGGGGTGGCAATGGGGTAGCTTAGAGCCGAGGACCCGAGTTCAATTCCCGACATAGGTACATGTGTAAAGTCCATTTCTAGTGTCCCCCGCTATATATTTCTTTGTTTATTGTTTAACGTCGCACTCAGCAATATTCCAGCTATATATTCATATATTCGGGTCTAAACCAGACAATCCAGTGATCAACAGCATGAGAATCGATCTACGCTATTGGGATACGATGACATCTCAGCAAGCCTGACCTCCCGATCCCGTTAGTCGCCTCTTATGACAAGCATGGGTTACTGAAGATCTATTCTAACCGGGACCTTCAGGAGTCACATGGGGCGGTGGGGTAGCCTAATGGTTAAAGCGTCCGCTCGTCAAGCTGAAGATCCGTGTTCGATTCCCAACATGGGTACAATGTGTGAAGCACATTTCTGGTGTCACCCGCCGTGATATTGCTGGAATATTGCTAAAAGCGGAGTAAAACCATACTCACTCACTCACTCAGGAGTCACATCGATTTGTAGCGCTGACTGACTGACTGACAGAATTTGGTTTTACGCCGCTTTTAGCAATATTCCAGCAACATTACGGCGGGGGACACTAGAAATGAGCTTCACACATTGTACCCATGTGGGGATTCGAACCCGGGTCTTCGGCGTGACGAGCCAACGCTTTAACCACTAGGTTACCCCACCGCCCCTTGTAGCGCTGAAATAACTGTATCAACAGGTCAAGTCAAATAGTACTAGCTCAGGGGAGGATGAAAGTAAGAATTAACGCCCGGGAGAAGTGTTAGTGAGTGTTGTTTTACGCCGTTGTTTGCAGCGCTTAACACCAAAATTGGCTCACACATTGTACCAATGTGGGAATCGAACCCGGGCCTTCTGCGTGAGGTGACAAGGCGTTAGGGGTCGGGGCAGTACAGTTGTTAAAGCGTGGACCACTCACTTACACAATCATTTTCGCTCACTCACTCACTGCCATCTCATTCACTCACTTGGACGGTGGGGTAGTTTTTCTTTTGGCAATCCACGCGAGACTCACCATGTTTCATGATTGTCCATACGACTCACCATATTTCAGGACTGTTCAGTTGAGTCACCATGATCATGATTGTCCATACGACTCACCAAATTTCAGGACTGTTCAGTTGAGTCACCATGATCATGATTGTCCATACGACTCACCATATTTCAGGACTGTTCAGTTGAGTCACCATGATCATGATTGTCCATACGACTCACCATATTTCAGGACTGTTCAGTTGAGTCACCATGATCATGATTGTCCATACGACTCACCATATTTCAGGACTGTTCAGTTGAGTCACCATGATCATGACTGTCCATACGACTCACCATATTTCAGGACTGTTCAGTTGAGTCACCATGATAATGACTGTCCATACGACTCACCATGGGAGCCGTGGGGTAGCCTAGTGGTGGAAACGTTCGCTCGTCACGCCGAAGACCCGGGTTCGATTCCCCACGTGGGTACAATATGTGAAGCCCATTTCTGGAATCCCCCGCCGTGATATTTCTGGACTATTCTCACTCACTCATCTATCCGCTCGATCTACACAATTGGGATCCGATGGCATGTGACGATATTTCCGATTTTTCAAATCCACAATTATGATTGTTTGATTGTTTGTTGTTTTACGCCGCACTCAGCAATATTCCGGCTATATGGCGGCGGTCTGTAAATAATCTAGTCTGGACCAGACAATCAAGTGATCAACAGTATATGCACAGAAATGGGATACGATGACATGTGTCAACCAAGTCAGCGAACCTGACCATCCGATCCCGTCAGTCGCCTCTTACGACAAACATGGGTTGCTGAAGACCAATTTTAACCAGGATCTTCGCTGGCCCTTCCCCAATGAGCTGACGCGCTGTCAGATAACTGAAAAAGTGTTACAAGCGGCGATAACCCCTGGGTATTGGGATTCAAAATCCGTGTCTGAAATCGTGAATTCGCTCGCTCGCAACACTTCTCATCATCATGGCAGATGCTTTCATGAATCTAAAAGAGTGAAGTCAATGATTTGGTTTAATCAGTATATAATTGCAACGAACGTTCTTCCACTGGGAGAACAGCCACGTGTCGCCTGTGCTGGTCACGTGTCTAACTTGGATGGCGGGAGAGTGGCGTCAGGGTGATGAAGGTGGTCAAGTGACGTTAGCGTCTGTTCGGACATACAATACAGAAGGCTTGCAATTGGCACACAGAAACGGAAAATATAGAACAGGTTGTTATTTTAGTTTTGTTTTTCGTTTGTTTTTTGTTTGTTTGGGGTTTTCCTATATATATATATATTATTATTATTTATTTTTTTTATCACGTCGCGGATCATGTCATAGCGATTGATACATTGTCGCCATCTTTGGTTTTTCAGAAGTTCAATGGCCGAAAGCGAACTTAAAGACTTCCCTGGAATCAATAGCATACAGAATAAGGTTTTTTTTCAGATTCACGGTTGATTTGAGCATGTAATACCCACGTGATTCCGTCTGCTAAAACAAAATGTAACATGGAAGAATAACAAGAATAAGTCTGGAACCTCATCATACGAACAGGATATGATGTCAAACCATCCTGATACTTGGTCACCGCGAATAGCTGCTACATGGCTGATGCGGCATATAACAATATTCACCGCTTCTTTATACGTGGTGTACTACGTTATTAAATGTCTTGACAAGTGCTCAAAACTGGCTCTTCGGCTAATGAAGGATCGTTCTAACGTGACTTGTATCGTAATGTGGGGCGCTGGGGTAGCCTGGTGGGTAAAGCGTCCGCTCGTCACGCTGAAGACCCGGGTTTGATTCCCCGCTTGGGTACAATGTCTGAAGTCCATTTCTGGTGCCCCCGCACTGATGTTGCTGGAATATTGTTAGAAGCGGCGTAAAACCATACTCACTCACTGCATCGTGATGTCGTGTGATCTGTGCTTAGCTAAAACAAACAGAACTTACCACTGTCCACCAGTGAATGAACTCTTGTTGACTGACTACTCCATTTTCTGAAACAATCGAACAACACTGTTTAAAAGTTTTAATGAGGATCAGTGGGAAGTAAAAAATGTTTTTCTCGGCGACCAACGAAATAATCTGTGAGTCTATATACTCACATCATGACTCTCGTGTTGACATTTATGAAACGGTGAGTCTCGTGTTGACTGTCATGAAACATGGGGAGTCTCGTGTGAACTGTCGTGAAACACGGTGAGTTTCGTGTGCACATTCATGAAACATGGTGAGTCTCGTGTAGAAAGTCATCAAACATGGTGAGTCTCGTGTAGATATTCATGAAGCATGGTGAGTCTCGTGTGGACATTCATGAAACATGGTGAGTCTTGTGTGGACAGTCATGAAACATGGTGAGTCTCGTGTGGACATTCATGAAACAAGGTGAGTCCCGTGTGGACATTCATGAAACATGGTGAGTCTCGTGTGGACATTCATGAAACAAGGTGAGTCCCGTGTGGACATTCATGAAACATGGTGAGTCTCGTGTGGATATTCATGAAACAAGGTGAGTCTCGTGTGGACATTCATGAAACAAGGTGAGTCTCGTGTGGACATTCATGAAACAAGGTGAGTCTCGCGTGGACATTCATGAAACAAGTTGAGTCTCGTGTGGACAGTCATGAAACAAGAAGAGTCTCGTGTGGACAGTCTTAAAACAGTGTGAGTCTCGCATAGACGGTCATGAAACATAATGAGTCACGACACTTCAAGATGGCCGCCTTCTTCACTCTCAAATATTTCATTTAATAGTTAACTTTACTGTTTTAAATAACCAAGTTAGATATCGGGGCTCAGCGACCGATTAGGTTTCATAACTGCGATACACGTCGCTACACTGAGTCACTAATGGTTCTCCTCTACCATCAAACTGACACGCCACAATGGCGCTGAACTCTCTCACTCACTCACTCACTCACTCACTCAATTCAACATTAGCATTAACAGATTCCAGTTATTCATATCCGCACATTATTTTTAAACACGACATATGAATTTCTTGCAACCAACCGTTTGCATCCCACAGCTTGAACAGCTCGATGAAATCATATTCAGTCAGGACGCCGTTCTTGTCGCTGTCGAAGATGTCGTACAGGGCGTGTGTGAGAACAAACATGGCGGGGTCAGCGTGTGTAGCATACGTGGTATATTCCTCTCGTGAGATGACACCGTCAACTGAAATAGTTTCTAATTCTACATCTGTTTCACAATGTATTGAAGTACATGTTGCATAGTGAGCGAATGAGTATGATTGTACGCCCTTTTTAGCAATATTCCAGCAATATCACGGCGGGGGCACCAGAAATGGGCTTCACACATTGTACCCATGTTGGGAATCGAACCCGGGTGTTCAGCGTGACGAGCGAACGCTTTAACCACAAGGTTACCCCACCGCCCCACATGCTGTAGAAGGACGATTCGTTAGTTCCAGTAATTAAAGTCTTCGCTGAATGATGAGTTATTCTCTCAGCCGTGACAGAATCCAAGTCACATACAGGAGTTAACGTCAACGTTAACGTCAACGTTAACGTCAACGACCAACGTCATCTTTAGCCACTTCTTCCACATTTATCGCAAATCCCAGGGAATCGACACTTTTCAGACATCTGGACAATTTTCTCTAATTTATTATCATTCTGCCCAATAGTTCTCGTGATCTCGCTGAGTGGGTGAGTTTAGTTTTACGCCGCTTTTAGCAATATTCCAGCAACATCACGGCGGAGGTCACCAGAAATGTGCTTTACACATAGTACCCAAGTGGGGAATCGAACCCGGGAACCTGGGAACACTGGGTGGAATCGTATCAGGGCGAAAAAGGGGTTACTTTACAGTGTCACAGGGAAATATTACAATACTTACAATTGGAATCGTAATGCCGGAAAGAGTACTCGATTTCTTGGCTGGAAATCTGCAGGTCTTTGTCAATATCATTGGCATCAAAGAGCATTTTCGCTGTGGTGTTATATGGTCTCAGGTCTATCCTGTAAATGTTTTTGCTTAAAGTTGATCATACCAGAGACCATATAACAGATATAATAATAATAATAATAATAATAATAATAATTCTATATATTACTGTTACTGTGATGAAAGGAGGCTCTGAATCACTGTAAACTAAGTGTCTCAAACATTGTTATTATACCCGTATCAGATACATTACCAACATATAATATTTTGTTGTTATTTTAATTTAATTTCAAACATGGTTATGCTTTCTTCTAAAGTGTTGTGTATTACGTGCCATGTGTGAGACATTGTCTCTTGGTCTAGGGTATATGTTAAGTATGAGACATTGTACCTTGGTCTAGAGATTATGGTAAGTGTGAGACATTGTCCCTTAATTGGTCTGGAGTTTATGTTACGTGAAATATGTGAGACATTGTCCCTATGTCTAGAGTTTATGTTAAGTGTGAGACATTGTCTCTTGGTCTGAAGTTTATGTTAAGTGTGAGACATTGTCCCTTTATGTTAAGTGTGAGACATTGTCTCTTGGTCTGGAGTTTATGTTAAGTGTGAGACATTGTCTCTTGGTCTGGAGTTTATGTTAAGTGTGAGACATTGTCCCTTTATGTTAAGTGTGAGACATTGCCCCTTAATTGGTCTGATGTTTACGTTACGTGCAATATGTGGGACATTATCCATTGGTCTAGAGTTTATGTTAAGTGTGAGACATTGTTTCTTGGTGTACAGTTTATGTTAAGTGTGAGACATTGTCTCTTGGTGTACAGTTTATGTTAAGTGTGAGACATTGTTTCTTGGTCTGGAGTTTATGTTAAGTATGAGACATTGTTTCTTGGTCTGGAGTTTATGTTAAGTGTGAGACATTGTCTCTTGGTCTGGAGTTTATGTTAAGTGTGAGACATTGACTCTTGGTCTGGAGTTTATGTTAAGTGTGAGACATTGTCCCTTTATGTTAAGTGTGAGACATTGTCTCTTGGTCTGAGTTTATGTTAAGTGTGAGACATTGTCTCTTGGTCTGGAGTTTATGTTAAGTGTGAGACATTGTCTCTTGGTCTGGAGTTTATGTTAAGTGTGAGACATTGTCTCTTGGTCTGGAGTTTATGTTAAGTGTGAGACATTGTCCCTTTATGTTAAGTGTGAGACATTGTCTCTTGGTCTGGAGTTTATGTTAAGTGTGAGACATTGTCCCTTTATGTTAAGTGTGAGACATTGTCTCTTGGTCTGGAGTTTATGTTAAGTGTGAGACATTGTCCCTTTATGTTAAGTGTGAGACATTGCCCCTTAATTGGTCTGATGTTTACGTTACGTGCAATATGTGGGACATTATCCATTGGTCTAGAGTTTATGTTAAGTGTGAGACATTGTCTCTTGGTGTACAGTTTATGTTAAGTGTGAGACATTGTTTCTTGGTCTGGAGTTTATGTTAAGTATGAGACATTGTTTCTTGGTCTGGAGTTTATGTTAAGTGTGAGACATTGACTCTTGGTCTGGAGTTTATGTTAAGTGTGAGACATTGACTCTTGCTCTGGAGTTTATGTTAAGTGTGAGACATTGTCCCTTTATGTTAAGTGTGAGACATTGTCTCTTCGTCTCGAGTTTATGTTAAGTGTGAGATATTGTTTCTTGGTCTGGAGTTTATGTTAAGTGTGAGACATTGTCTCTTGGTCTGGAGTTTATGTTAAGTGTGAGACATTGTCTCTTGGTCTGGAGTTTATGTTAAGTGTGAGACATTGACTCTTGGTCTGGAGTTTATGTTAAGTGTGAGACATTGTCCCTTTATGTTAAGTGTGAGACATTGTCTCTTGGTCTGGAGTTTATGTTAAGTGTGAGACATTGTCTCTTGGTCTGGAGTTTATGTTAAGTGTGAGACATTGTCTCTTGGTCTGGAGTTTATGTTAAGTGTGAGACATTGACTCTTGCTCTGGAGTTTATGTTAAGTGTGAGACATTGTCCCTTTATGTTAAGTGTGAGACATTGTCTCTTCGTCTCGAGTTTATGTTAAGTGTGAGATATTGTTTCTTGGTCTGGAGTTTATGTTAAGTGTGAGACATTGTCTCTTGGTCTGGAGTTTATGTTAAGTGTGAGACATTGTCTCTTGGTCTGGAGTTTATGTTAAGTGTGAGACATTGTCTCTTGGTCTGGAGTTTATGTTAAGTGTGAGACATTGACTCTTGGTCTGGAGTTTATGTTAAGTGTGAGACATTGTCCCTTTATGTTAAGTGTGAGACATTGTCTCTTGGTCTGGAGTTTATGTTAAGTGTGAGACATTGTCTCTTGGTCTGGAGTTTATGTTAAGTGTGAGACATTGTCTCTTGGTCTGGAGTTTATGTTAAGTGTGAGACATTGTCTCTTGGTCTGGAGTTTATGTTAAGTGTGAGACATTGTCTCTTGGTCTGAAGTTTATGTTAAGTGTGAGACATTGTCCCTTTATGTTAAGTGTGAGACATTGTCTCTTGATCTGGAGTTTATGTTAAGTGTGAGACATTGTCTCTTGGTCTGGAGTTTATGTTAAGTGTGAGACATTGTCCCTTTAAGTTAAGTATGAGACATTGCCCCTTAATTGGTCTGATGTTTACGTTACGTGCAATATAAGGGACATTATCCATTGGTCTAGAGTTTATGTTAAGTGTGAGACATTGTTTCTTGGTGTACAGTTTATGTTAAGTGTGAGACATTGTCTCTTGGTGTACAGTTTATGTTAAGTGTGAGACATTGTCTCTTGGTCTGGAGTTTATGTTAAGTGTGAGACATTGTCTCTTGGTCTGGAGTTTATGTTAAGTGTGAGACATTGTCCCTTTATGTTAAGTGTGAGACATTGCCCCTTAATTGGTCTGATGTTTACGTTACGTGCAATATGTGGGACATTATCCATTGGTCTAGAGTTTATGTTAAGTGTGAGACATTGTTTCTTGGTGTACAGTTTATGTTAAGTGTGAGACATTGTCTCTTGGTGTACAGTTTATGTTAAGTGTGAGACATTGTTTCTTGGTCTGGAGTTTATGTTAAGTATGAGACATTGTTTCTTGGTCTGGAGTTTATGTTAAGTGTGAGACATTGTCTCTTGGTCTGGAGTTTATGTTAAGTGTGAGACATTGACTCTTGGTCTGGAGTTTATGTTAAGTGTGAGACATTGTCCCTTTATGTTAAGTGTGAGACATTGTCTCTTGGTCTGGAGTTTATGTTAAGTGTGAGACATTGTCTCTTGGTCTGGAGTTTATGTTAAGTGTGAGACATTGTCTCTTGGTCTGGAGTTTATGTTAAGTGTGAGACATTGTCTCTTGGTCTGGAGTTTATGTTAAGTGTGAGACATTGTCCCTTTATGTTAAGTGTGAGACATTGTCTCTTGGTCTGGAGTTTATGTTAAGTGTGAGACATTGTCCCTTTATGTTAAGTGTGAGACATTGTCTCTTGGTCTGGAGTTTATGTTAAGTGTGAGACATTGTCCCTTTATGTTAAGTGTGAGACATTGCCCCTTAATTGGTCTGATGTTTACGTTACGTGCAATATGTGGGACATTATCCATTGGTCTAGAGTTTATGTTAAGTGTGAGACATTGTCTCTTCGTGTACAGTTTATGTTAAGTGTGAGACATTGTTTCTTGGTCTGGAGTTTATGTTAAGTATGAGACATTGTTTCTTGGTCTGGAGTTTATGTTAAGTGTGAGACATTGACTCTTGGTCTGGAGTTTATGTTAAGTGTGAGACATTGACTCTTGCTCTGGAGTTTATGTTAAGTGTGAGACATTGTCCCTTTATGTTAAGTGTGAGACATTGTCTCTTCGTCTCGAGTTTATGTTAAGTGTGAGATATTGTTTCTTGGTCTGGAGTTTATGTTAAGTGTGAGACATTGTCTCTTGGTCTGGAGTTTATGTTAAGTGTGAGACATTGTCTCTTGGTCTGAGTTTATGTTAAGTGTGTGAGACATTGTCTCTTGGTCTGGAGTTTATGTTAAGTGTGAGACATTGACTCTTGGTCTGGAGTTTATGTTAAGTGTGAGACATTGTCCCTTTATGTTAAGTGTGAGACATTGTCTCTTGGTCTGGAGTTTATGTTAAGTGTGAGACATTGTCTCTTGGTCTGGAGTTTATGTTAAGTGTGAGACATTGTCTCTTGGTCTGGAGTTTATGTTAAGTGTGAGACATTGACTCTTGCTCTGGAGTTTATGTTAAGTGTGAGACATTGTCCCTTTATGTTAAGTGTGAGACATTGTCTCTTCGTCTCGAGTTTATGTTAAGTGTGAGATATTGTTTCTTGGTCTGGAGTTTATGTTAAGTGTGAGACATTGTCTCTTGGTCTGGAGTTTATGTTAAGTGTGAGACATTGTCTCTTGGTCTGGAGTTTATGTTAAGTGTGAGACATTGTCTCTTGGTCTGGAGTTTATGTTAAGTGTGAGACATTGACTCTTGGTCTGGAGTTTATGTTAAGTGTGAGACATTGTCCCTTTATGTTAAGTGTGAGACATTGTCTCTTGGTCTGGAGTTTATGTTAAGTGTGAGACATTGTCTCTTGGTCTGGAGTTTATGTTAAGTGTGAGACATTGTCTCTTGGTCTCGAGTTTATGTTAAGTGTGAGACATTGTCTCTTGGTCTGGAGTTTATGTTAAGTGTGAGACATTGTCTCTTGGTCTGAAGTTTATGTTAAGTGTGAGACATTGTCCCTTTATGTTAAGTGTGAGACATTGTCTCTTGGTCTGGAGTTTATGTTAAGTGTGAGACATTGTCTCTTGGTCTGGAGTTTATGTTAAGTGTGAGACATTGTCCCTTTAAGTTAAGTATGAGACATTGCCCCTTAATTGGTCTGATGTTTACGTTACGTGCAATATAAGGGACATTATCCATTGGTCTAGAGTTTATGTTAAGTGTGAGACATTGTTTCTTGGTGTACAGTTTATGTTAAGTGTGAGACATTGTCTCTTGGTGTCAGTTTATGGTGTTACAGTTTATGTTAAGTGTGAGACATTGTCTCTTGGTCTGGAGTTTATGTTAAGTGTGAGACATTGTCTCTTGGTCTGGAGTTTATGTTAAGTGTGAGACATTGACTCTTGGTCTGGAGTTTATGTTAAGTGTGAGACATTGTCCCTTTATGTTAAGTGTGAGACATTGTCTCTTGGTCTGAGTTTATGTTAAGTGTGAGACATTGTCTCTTGGTCTGGAGTTTATGTTAAGTGTGAGACATTGTCTCTTGGTCTGGAGTTTATGTTAAGTGTGAGACATTGTCTCTTGGTCTGGAGTTTATGTTAAGTGTGAGACATTGTCTCTTGGTCTGGAGTTTATGTTAAGTGTGAGACATTGTCTCTTGGTCTGGAGTTTATGTTAAGTGTGAGACATGTCTCTTGGTCTGGAGTTTATGTTAAGTATGAGACATTGTCCCTTTATGTTAAGTGTGAGACATTGTCTCTTGGTCTAGAGTTTATGTTAAGTGTGAGACATTGTCCCTTTATGTTAAGTGTGAGACATTGCCCCTTAATTGGTCTGGAGTTTATGTTACGTGCAATATGTGGGACATTATCCATTGGTCTAGAGTTTATGTTAAGTGTGAGACATTGTTTCTTGGTGTACAGTTGATGTTAAGTGTGAGACATTGTCTCTTGGTCTGGAGTTTATGTTAAGTGTGAGACATTGTTTCTTGGTCTAGAGTTTATGTTAAGTGTGAGACACTGTCTCTTGGTCTGGAGTTTATGTTAAGTGTGAGACATGTCTCTTGGTCTGGAGTTTATGTTAAGTGTGAGACATTGTCCCTTTATGTTAAGTGTGAGACATTGTCTCTTGGTCTAGAGTTTATGTTAAGTGTGAGACATTGTCCCTTTATGTTAAGTGTGAGACATTGCCCCTTAATTGGTCTGGAGTTTATGTTACGTGCAATATGTGGGACATTGTCCATTGGTCTAGAGTTTATGTTAAGTGTGAGACATTGTTTCTTGGTGTACAGTTGATGTTAAGTGTGAGACATTGTCTCTTGGTCTAGAGTTTATGTTAAGTGTGAGACATTGTTCATAATATATGGCAAGGGGGGTGTACATATTTTAGTTTAGTTTATTTTTTTCACATTGTTGTACCTGCTTCTCCATTATAATTATCATCTCTCCCCAAGCCACGATTTATGAACATCCCCCTAGCCCGGGTTAAGAAATTTCCGAAATCGTATAATTTTAATATCACCCCTATGCATAATAATATACACCTTGAAAACCACAATGTCCGGAACGGCAGGTTTGGTGGGATACACGGGGTTTGTTGTAATGTATCTTTACTTACTGTGCGCAGCAGAGAGAAGATCCAAGTAGCACAACAGTGACCGTTAGCCAGATCATGTTGACGCTGTTATACACTCTTAGCACAGAAAAAAGGCAAAGACTGAATTAAAATGTAATGTGTGTGAGTGAACAATGAATGTGAATTAAGGCCTGGTGGGGTAGCCTTGTGGTTAAAGCGTTTGCTCGTCACGCTGAACACCCGGGTTCGAGTCTCCACATGGGTATAATGTGTGAAGCCAATTTCTGGTGTCCCCCACCGTGATATTGCTGGAATATTGCTAAAAGCGGCGTAAAACCAAACTAACTGACTCATTTGAGTTAAAATCGTAAAACGTCGCCTTTGCAAGGGGTGATTACGATGGTCGACGCTATCTATCCTACTTGGTAGAATGCCCCTTGTGTCATCAAACAGATGTTAAACTTTTCTAAACTTGCAAATGTCTACGTCGGGACCTAAAACTTAAGAACCCTTAGAGACGGATTAATCTTTCTTCATGTACCCAATAGTGAGCAAGTTTAGGTTTACATTCCAGCAATACCACGGCGGGGAACACCAGAAATGGGCTTCACACATTGTATCAATCTGGAGAATCGAACACGGATGTTCGGCGTGACGAGCGAAAGCTTTTACCACTAAGCTACCCACATGTGAGTGAGTGAGATTAGTTTTACGACGCACTCAGAAATATTCCAGCTATATGGGGGCGGTAGCCACCCACATGTGCCCCATAAGCAGGGGACATGACAAGAATGTCAACCCTTGTTTGTCTGGTCCGTATTCGCTTATTTACATTCGGCATTTATATCGCTGTGAACAAACAAAACAAGAAAATAAAGACCAAGTGTCATGGCCCTATTAGCCGGTCTCCCTAATTACTGCAGCTTATGAATGTCGTAACTGACCTATTACATTCCCAACTTACCTATCTGGCTTCGCAATGTATAGTGCTGTATAAAACCAAGCATTATCATTAGGAGGTTATATTTTGACATTATTTGATAAGATAGTCATTCTCTATTTAATTAAACGTGAGGTTTAAATTTTTGTTGAGGCGTGTGCAGCGAAGTCGTGATGACTGTGGCCTGTCTCCATCTGTGTGCTCTCAGTCAGACTCGTCAGTCTCGGGTCAGCGTCCCGTCAACGTCCGTCAATGTCCCGTCATTGTCCGTCACTGCCCCGTCAGTGTCCTTCAATGTTCCGTCACTGCCCCGTCAATGTCCACTCAATGTTCCGTCACTGTCCCGTCAACGTCCTGTTGGTGTTTCGTCAGTGTCCCTTTGATGTTCAGTCAGTGTTCCGTAAATGTTCCGTCTCTGCCCCGTTGAAGTCAGATTTGTCAGTCAGCGTCAGTGTCCCGTCAATGTTTCGTCAGTGTCCCGTCAATGCTCAGTCAATGTCCCGTTGATGTTCCGTCAGTGTCCCCTCAATGTTCCGTCAATGTCCAGTCGGTGTCCCTAATGTCCGGTCTGTGTCCCTAATGTTCAGTCAGTGTCCCTAATGTCCAGTCGGTGTCCCTAATGTTCAGTCTGTGTCCCTTATGTCCAGTCAGTGTCCCTAATGTTCAGTCTGTGTCCCTTATGTCCAGTCAGTGTCCCTAATGTTCAGTCAGTCTCCCTAATGTCCAGTCAGTGTCCCTAATGTTCAGTCTGTGTCCCTAATGTCAAGTCGGTGTCCCTAATGTCCAGTCAGTGTCCCTAATGTCCAGTCAGTGTCCCTAATGTTCAGTCAGTGCCCCTAATGTCCAGTCAGTGTCCCTAATGTGCAGTTAGTGTCCCTAATGTGCAGTTAGTGTCCCTAATGTCTTGTCGGTGTCACTAATGGCCAGTCGATGTCCCTATCAAACCACTAAACACTCGTTTAGAATAATGAGTGAGTTAGTGAGTGAGAAGGACTTTAAATCGCTATAAGTAACATTATTCCAGCAATATCATGACAGGGGACACTAGAAATAGGCACCAACATTGTACCCATGTAGAGAATCGAGCCCGGTTCTTCGGGCGTGAGGAGCGAACGCTTTGACCACTAGGCTACCCCACCGCCCCACACGAAATATGTAGCAGGACGCCAGTCATTCACACACAGGGGTACCTGGCAGGATATTGCCAACGAATATATCAAAAAGTCAAAGGCTATTATATTTCCTTCATTGTTTTTATTGCAACGATTGTTCTTCCATCACAACCCGGGAAGCTGCCAGCCCAATTAGTCACGTGACCTACTAGGCGCTCGGGGTTGATGGAGCGAAGGTGGCGTCAGGGTGGTGGAGGTGATCCAATGCCGTCAGTGTCTGGAGAACAGAAGGCGTTACATGCAAATCTGTATAAACACGAGTGGATCAATTATTGTATGGTTTTTAAAACTAAATCGACGAGATTATGCTAGTGAGTGAGTGAGTGAGTGTGGTTAAATATAAATATCAAATAATAAATAATAATAATTAAATGTGGGGAATCAAACTCGGGTCTTTGGCGTGACGAGCAAACACTTTAACCACTAGGTTACCCCACTGCCCCTCTTTTCCTTGTGGGTTTCAGCAAGCAAACAAGTAAACGTCGAGGACTTAGACCCAGTTTAAACTGACACGTGACGTAACTGGAACGTTGTTCATAACACCGGTTAACCCAACACCCTCAAATGTTTGTTTGTTGTCCATAAGCCGCATTCAACAACATCCCAGCGATATGACTTCGGTCTGTAAAAATCTGAGTCTTGACTGACACCACGTGCATCGATCTACTCAATTAGGACACGATGACATGTATCAACCATGAAACCGGGGTACACCAGAAAGGGCCTTTCACATTGTGAGGTGAGGTGAAATTGGGTTTAACGTCGTGCTTGAGAATATTTCGCTCATATCACGACGTGCATGCGTGTGTATGTGTATGTGCGGGTGCTTGTACTAGCCCAGACTGAAGCTGGTTTTATAGCGCTAGCCCACTGAGATTCCATGCCGCAGTGAAGCATGAATACCCAGCTCAGACACATTATACTGACTCCGAGCCGACCAGTCCTTGTTGTACCCATTAATGCCGAGCGCCAGGCAGGGACCAAGAAGTAAAATATTTTAAAGTCTTATGGTATGACGCGGCCGGGGATCAAACCCGCGACCTTCCGCTCTCCGGGCGGACGCTTTAACCACTACACCACGGAGGCGGTCTTTCACATTGTACCCATGTTGGGAATCAAACTCGTGACCAGCGTGCGCTTTAACCACTAGGCTGCTCCACCGCCCCTGTACCACTGAACTAATGCTAAGAATAGCTCTTGACTGGACTGTGGGGTAGCCTAGTGGTTAAAGCGTTCGCTCGTCACGCTGAAGACAAGGGTTCTATTACCCACATGGGTACAATGTGTGAAACACATTGCTGGTGTCCCCCGACCTGATATTGCTGGAATATTGCTAAAAGCGGCGTTTGATCCAACACAACGAAGCACTACTTACCACTGTCCACCAGTGAACAAACTCCGGCTCGCTCACAATTGTATTTTCTGAAACAATCGAACAATATATTGAGAATAAAATGGGTTTAATGTCGCGTTCAAGATTATTTATTCATTTTAACGTCGTTTAAGACGCTGCCGGAATCAAACCATAGGCCTTACGTTCTGGGTTATACTATACCACATCGGAATCCGTATCTTCACTGCAGACTGAATCATCCGACAGCTGTCATTGGGTGATTTTGAGTGTTTTTTAAATGGACATCCATCTAGTAATTAAAACTCACTATATTTATTTTGGCCTAACTATATTCTCGATGTCCAATGTTTGAAAAGCTTCCATTTTAGTTTGTAGGAATCATTAGCAAAGCCGTATAAAAAATTTCACATTGGTGGGTAATGTGATTAATGAGACATTAGTCATCACAACACATTGGGGTATAATATTTCTAGAAAAAATGCAGAAAATGAAAAACGATCCGTCATTTAGTACCTCTTGGATAAAGGTATGCCCTCAGATAATGTCATATAAAATATGTTAGTATAGTATTGGATGACTTCCCGTCATAATCAAGAGTCAAAGCTTTGGATTGCTTGATTCATATTTAGTTGGGGGCTGTTTCTTTTAAGGAGGCCCCCATTTAAGTCTTTCAAAAACATTGTGTCCAGATATTCAAGCTGGCCCTGTTTACAATATACTGAGAGTTGACACTAGTGTGACCATTCAGCATTTACTTTGAACCTTTAGCATCATGTGTGAAAAAGTGAAAACATTAGAATAAGTTATGTCCTTATGATTTCGTCGTCTGAAAGGGGGTGGGTAGTGTCTCCAAAACAAGCTGTTACAGTAAACATGAAGGGTGAATCACTTTAACAAGCGATTGTACTTTCAAATTGCTTTTTTATGCACTTTAATATCTAAGTTTGATTCTAGCGGACGTCTACCTATCTCAAACACACAAAATGTTTCTTGCATGTTTCGTTACCTGAAGTTTGTGGTGCATTTATTGCAGATTTTGCGCTTTTGGGGGGTACCAAGATAAAATTTCAAACAAAATGGGGGTCGTAAGGCTGGAACGTAGCAAAACCAATTTGCTTGAGGTTGACAGATAATATGTAGAAAGATAAAACATAAAAACAGCTGCACTTGTATCATTTACTAGGTCAGGCCGACTACTTTTTGACTGTCCCTCGTAGCTACTGCTGTCTTTTTCCCACGATGACTTATACTGAATGTGACCAAAGGTATTTCAACCGGTTATTTTCCGCGGAACTGGAGTTTAGCTTCCAGTTCCAAGAAAGGAACTGGCTAGTTTGGCATTTTTTATGTTTTTATTCTTTCTTTAAGGCCAGACTATGCACGCATATATACATGATAGCTATTGAATGCTTAGTTTATTTTGTTTAGAATATAACGTTACTCTAGAAGTCAATGGGGAAATATCTGTTTTTGTGTAACCTCTAGGGACAGGCGCTCTGTGAAACCACTGCAATACACAGCCAAACACCGTTGTGTCGAAGTTGAAGGACCTATCTAAATACTCGAGTTATCCGACCTTAGACGTAACCGCAAAATGACGACAATTTGGTGTAAATCCAACTAGGGTCCATGCAGGTAGCAAAAGTAATGTAAGTCCCCATGGTCCCTGGTATGGTGATCTACCTTCAGTTATTGGCGATTTATAGTCCATTTTTATACTGTATTGTTTTTCCCCTATAGTTAAAACGTTTTAGATTTAATTACTAGTTTTACATACATATCTGTGATATTCTAGTTGTTTTACTGTCCTTCGTCGGCAGTTTTTTTATAATATACATATATTTCATTTCAATATCAAATGTTCTTGTCACGATATGGCTGAAATATTGCCGATGTGACGTTAAATATTAACTCACTCACTCACTCACTCACTTTGGGGGCCAAGCAGTTTGTCTTTATGTATATGTCAGGTGGACGATATAAATGATCCCGTATGACGTGTGCCTAAAGATGAACTGCGCTTTGGCTTTTTAATCTAACCATGGCGTTGCAGTTAACTTTTATGACGTCATATCTGAGCGATAACGACGAATACACAAGGGGAAATAACTCAGTTTCAAGCATGGCGCCATTTACCGCTAGACCTACACTAAACAGGCTCCGCTGTTGCTTCGCGCAGCAAGCTATGGTCTTTTACTTGCTGAACTTAACAAGAGACCAGTCTAGACCTGTCATACCATGGATCATTGTCATTTTAACGATATTTCCGATTATTGAAATCCTCAATTATGATTGATTGTTTGTTTTTTAACGCCGCATTCAGCAATATTCCAGCTACATGACGGCGGTCTGTAAATAATCGAGTCTGAACCAGACAATATAGTGATCGAAAGCATATGCACTGAATTCGGTACCGATGACATGTGTCAGCCAAGTCAGCGAGCCTCACCACCCGATCCCGTTAGTCGCCTCTTACGACAAGCATGGGTTGATGAAGACCAATTCAAACCCGGATTTTCACCAGACATTAAGGTTAAATACGATACATCAATATGTTTCAGCCCACCGTTTGCATCCCACAACTTGAACAGCTCCTCGTAGTCGTACTGAGTCAGGACTCCATCCTTGTCTTTGTCGTAGATGTCGTACAGAGCATGCGTGAGAACAAACATGGCGGGGTTCTGGTGAGTGGTGTATGTAGTATATTCCTCGCGTGATACTACACCATCAACTGAAAATACGAAGGTTCTAGGTGTAGAATGACAGCAATAAAAGATAATTTACTCGAGATTTCTGCAGAATACTTTCTATAGAACAGTGAGTGAGTGAGTGTGGTTTTACGCCGCTTTGAGCAAAATATTCCAGCAACATCACGGCGAGGATCACCAGAAACCCGGGTCTTCGGCGTGACGAGCGAATGCTTTAACCACTAGGCTACCCCGTCGCCCCATGAATAAATACATAATACTGAAATTTATATAGCCCTTAATCCAACCACTAAGTGGTTGCTCAAACTACTATAGAACAGAGAGGACGCGGTAATATACAAGCACTTCCGGGGGATTCTGGGTAAATTATGTTCAGGGCTGCCTGTGATGCGACCAGATTGGTCGGGTGACACTTTGTGAGTGAGTTTAGTTTTACGGAATACTCTGCAATATTACAGTTATATGGCGGCGGTATGTAAATAATCGAGTCTGGACCAGACAATCCAGTGACTAACGGCATTAGCATCGATCTGCGCAATTGGGATACGATGACATGTGTCAACCAAGTCAGCGAGCCTGACCACCCGATCCCGTTATTCGCCTCTTACGACAAGCATGGGTTGCTGAAGACCAATTCTAACCCGGTTCTTCACGGGCGGATCACACTTTGACCTGGTTGGTCACATGTCACTGATGACCATGCTGTCATTGACTGGATGGTCTGGACCAGACTCGACTGTCCAGAGACTTCCGTCATATGCCTTGAATATTTCTGAGAGCAACTGTCAACAACAGAAACCCTATTATCAGTCATGCTTTGCCCAAAGAATTTGTCAATTAAAACAATACGATTAAACGTTTAAAAGTTATTATAACACCAATATGCCTTAAATGATGCGCGCGCGCACATACACGCACGCACGCACACACACACACACACACACACACACACACACACACACACACACGAATGCACTGTGCATCAAAATGTCAAGAAGTGTATGTATATTGACGAATACCTTGTGAGAGTTTCACTTGTGCCCAATCCATTTTGACATTAACAACTCTTCATATAGATTCGTGTGACCTGTACACACACGCACACGCACACGCACACTCTCACGCACACACACACACACATGGTGGTGTGTGGTCTTGTGTATTGAGTGCAAGTCACAAATCACTTGAAGTTAAGCAACGTTGGTAACGGAGAGTCCTTGGATGGGTGACCGTGTTTGGCAGCTTGACTCATCAGAGTTTCTAGGACTTCTGTCCTGCCACACAACGAATCATGTGGTCTCACCTTAGGCAAGTGAGTTTGTTTAAAATTGCCCCTGTTCACCCAGCGGAAAATGGGTACCCGGTGGGATAAGTCATATGACTATTAACCTTCTAGCGCCTCACATGCACCTTGGGTTATCCGGGGTAATGGTGTCCATCATGCTGTATGCGCTTAGAGTATGTCCCTGCGGAGTTCTGCGCTATATTAGTGGCCATATTATTAGCATTATTACATACAGACACATATATACATACGTACAGTTAGAATCGTATCCATTGAATGAAAGAACGAGTTCCGTATGGGACATTTCCTTGTCCTTATCAACATCATTGGCATCGAAGAGGTTCTGAGCTGTGACGTCATACGGCCTCAGGTCGATTCTGAAAAATACATTTTAAAAATCAGTATGACGAATTTGTTTCGAAATTTGTATGTAAGCTATCGGAATTCTCATATAATGCTCTCGATGAACCTATAAACTGAAGTCTAGTGTTTAATCTCCCTATTATATGGATTGGCTTGTTGGTTGTTTAGGGGCGGTGGGGTAGCCTAATGGTTAAAGCGTTGGCTCGTCACGCTGAAGACCCGGGTTCGAATCCCCACATGGGTACAATGTGTGAAGCCCATTTCTGGTGTCCCCCGCCGTGATGTTGCTGGAATATTGCTAAAAGCGGCGTAAAACCAAACGCAGTCAGTCAGTCAGTTGGTTGTTTAACGCAGCACTCAGCAACATTCCAGCGATATGGCGGTGGTCTCCCTGTTATAAACTACCAGCTCATTCACCTACGCATTAATCTCTCTCATCCATTATACTCAACCATCCTGCTCACCAACTCTACCACACATTAAACTCACTTACACTATAAACTCACTCATCCACCCAGTAAACCCAGTCACTCACTCACCCAAACATTAAACTCATCTATACCACTCACGAACACACTACAACACGTAGTGAAGTATCACAGTGGCTATAACAACGAGAAACGACCTTGAAGGACGATGGGTGACATGGGATGGGTGCGTGATACGCCACGATTTGTCAAAAGCTTATTCACTTGACGAGGCAGACTGCGTATGAGTTCCCAAATGGCGATTTGAGGGAATCTGTCCCACTCCTCTGGCCACGTTCAGCCGACGTGGTTGCAGGCCTATGACGTTGACGCACACGTCTCATTGGTATGTCCCTGACGTGGTCAATGAGGCAAAGGTCTGGGTCAGTCCATGACGTTCTGTGGTCGTTATCCTGAGTGAGTCAGTGAGTGGGTGGGTCAGTGACAACAACGGGCGTCGGTGTCTTATCTTGATAGTACTGTCCAGTAACCATTACTTGCATGGTTTGGAATGGGTTGGGACTCGCTCATCCAGAGTGACACCATCCAATCCACCACCCAATCCGTCTTGAGGTCTATTGTTTACATTGGCTTGAGCTTCGTTTCTATGTCGCCAGACACGACCATGCTTACCAAGTACGTGAATCAGAACTCATCAGAAAACATGCCCAAGTTTGTGTTCACTATTGATGCCTGTTGCTTGTCGCCAGACACGACCATGCCTACCAAGGACTGGAATCAGAACTCATCAGAAAACATGCCCAAGTTTGTGTTCACTATTGATGCCTGTTGCCTGTCGCCAGACACGACCATGCCTACCAAGGACGTGCATTAGAACTCATCAGAAAACATGCCCAAGTTTGTGTTCACTATTGCCTGTTGGCAATATGGCGATGTACGGGGCGCCACCACACGTGGCCGGAGCGACGAGATGAGCTGTAGACGTGTTCCAATCGTCTGGGTCCTGTTACACGACAGGTTCGCAGCACTATAGAGTTACGTAACGTCGTAAAGTTGCGAACGCTTTGTGGAACACCCATAAGTCGTTGAATGATAAAAGCTTTCAGCAAATTAATTCGCTGTTTGACCTGGATTCCGTAGAGCCTGGTTTCGGAACAATCATCCTGAACTCCTGTCGTTATTCTGGGAGGTCGTCAAAGGAGTCGATCATAATAATAATAATAATAATAATAATAATAATAATAATAATCTACTTCTATAGCGCCGAGTTCCAGCTAGGCTGCTCACAGGCGCTTGTGCAGATCAGTCTATTTCATTTCAAATAGATGTGTCTTTAAATGTTTTCGAAAAGTTGGTAGACTTGGGGCGGATTTTAGCGACATAGGGAGGTTGTTCCATAGCATGGGAGCTGCACATTCAAAGCAGCGGTCCCCGTATTTGGTCCTGGATGGTCTGGTGATAAGCAGATCTTTATCTTGTGATCTAAGAGTTCTTGTTGGTCTATGGTTGTTTAGAAGAGATGACAAGTAAGATGGAGCAGTGTTGGTCTTCAGGCACTTGTAGATAATGGTAAGCACCTTGAATTTTATGCGTCTGGCAACGGGTAGCCAATGCAGTTCTCTTAACCTGGGGGGTGATGTGGTCATCAAACATTTTGGGTTTGTTGGTACCTGATCAATAGTCTGCTAATCACAGTTCGGGAAACATTGAACGTATTTGCCACTGTACCCCGGCGTCTGTTAGTTTTCAGCATGCCAATAGCTCGTTGACTTTCTTAACGTGAGAGGAAATAATTCAAATAAAAATTCAAATAAAAGAAAGTATGTCTTTAGTTTTGAACAAAAATATACAAAAAATATAACCATATCCTTTTCTCGTGTGTTTAGTTTTAGTGACCATCAAAGATGTTCTTTGGAGTTTATATTAGAAATGGGGTTTATTTTCTTTTTCATTTATCGACTAACCGAACTGAAACTTTTGCCCCAAATCCTCACACCAGAAAAAACATGTGAAGATCCCGGGTTCGAATTGGTCTTCAGCAACCAATGCTTGTCGTAAGAGGCGACTAATGGGATCGGGTGGTCAGGCTCACTGACTTGGTTGACATATGCCATCGTATCCCAATTGCGTAGATCGATGTTCATGCTGTTGATCACAGGATTGTTTGGTCCAAACTCAATTAGTTACATACCGCCGCCATATAGCTGGAATATTGCTGAGTGTGGCGTAAAACTAAAGTCTCTCATTCAAACCAGAAAAAAAAAAGAAAAACCTTTTTTAAACTTACTGTGCCGATGACAAACTGGCTCCCACCAACAAACAGATAACGGTCAGACAGTTCATTGTAAAGTATCACGCTGAAAATAGATAATATATAAATGGAAAAATATTTATCTTCAGGCTCCCTAAATATTTCATGTTCATGTTTAAAAAAGTGATGTGTATGAATAATAACCTTCCTCGAGTTTTTTTCTAATTTGGGTACTATCAGAGAAAAGAGAAAGGAAAATACATACATATTTTGGCCACTCAAATCACACTTTTAATCCAGTGGATCGCCTCTGAAAAAATATTCTTACCTTGGCCAGATGGTTTCCTGCAAGGAGTGATAGTTAGACCACGAGTATTTATATATAAATTCTTCCGATTGATAAGACGGGTCGTCATTGTGTGTTATCTCAGATAATAACCAGAGCGACAGGATCTAAACTGACCTCCTTTACCGTTATTTTATTATTGAATCATTACACCAATACGTATAAATCCAGAGGGTGATACAATGAGTATGGGTAAACAGTAAACTACGCATACAACGAATTGACGGATATAAAGAACTGTTTTCTGGTCCCGGACACTTGATGTATTTGAGTCGAAATATAACTAAATTCGGTTATAACGATCAAAAATATGCGGTTTATTTGAGTTCTTTACAACCGTATTATGTGTGTGTGTGGACATGTGACATATGTATGTGGACTTGTGCGGTGTGTTAGTGAACGTGTGACGTGGGTGGGTGTGGACACGTGACGTGGGTGTGTGCATGTGACATTGTGTGTGGGCGTGTGAGGCTGTGTGTGTACGTGTGACATTGTGTGTGTGGACGTGGGACGTGTGTTAGGTCATGTGACATGTCTGTGTAGGCATGTGACGTGTGTGTGTGTGGACGTGGGACGTGTGTTAGGACATGTGACATGTCTGTGTGGGCATGTGACATTGTGTGTGTGGACGTGGGACGTGTGTTAGGACATGTGACTTGTGTGTGGACGTGTGTGTGTGTGTTTGTGGACATGTGTGTGACGTGTGTGTTTGTGAACATGTGACATGTGTCTGTGTGACCGTGTGTGTGTTTGTGGACATGTGACATGTCTGTGTGTTTGTTGACATGTGTCTATGTGACGTGTGTGTGTGTGTGTGGACATGTGACGTGTGTGTGTTTGTTGACATGTGGCGTGTGTGTGTTTGTGGACATGTGACATACGTGTGTGACGTGTGTGTGTTTGTGGACATGTGACTTGTGTGTGTGTGACGTGTGTGTTTGTGGACATCTGACAAGTGTGTGTGTGTGTGTGTGAGAGAGTGTGTGTGCCTGTGTGCGTGCGTGCGTGCGTGCGTGCGTGTAGTAAGTCCTTCACAGCCTTTGAATTGAAAGCGGTGTGCACGAAACGCTTTCATTTCTATCGGAAACCAGGTTATTGCCAATTTGCAGAAGACAAGTTATCAAATGACGAGGTTGTAGTATTTGAATACTTCAACGTAATTAGCATACTTTTCAATAAATGGGATGAGTGCGCGATATTCGGCTATGGGCGAGGACAGCTAGGACATCAGCTAGAAATCTTGCATTGTCAAATTATTATAAAAACGTGAAGTTTCAAATTAATTCGTTGTTGTCTTTGAGCTGGAATACTGTAATACTGTGTAGAATCTTCTTCAAATAGAGTGGGTGAGTTTAGTTTTACGCCGCTTTTAGCAACATTCCAGCAATATCACGTCGGGGGACACCAGAAATGGGCTTCACACATCGTACCCATGTGGGGAATCGAACCCGGGTCTTCAGCGTGATGAGCGAACACTTTAACCACTAGGCTACCCCTTCTTCGTTTAGAAATTGGAGGTAAACATGGGGGGTTGTTAGAGATACAACTTTCAGCCTCTTACATTCAATATCCACCTGAAAATTGAACAACCCCCGTTTTACCAGCCACGTCTTGCAACATGGTGTCACTTGCGTCACATCTGAAGTGTGATGCCATCTGAAAGATGTGTCTCACGAAAAACACAATAAATTGCAGTATTTTAATTGCGCGAATAACACGTTTCGACAGTGTGTAATTGGGTCAAATGTCTAGCAGATTGTTTCATCGGTTATAAATAACCGTTGATGTCCGAAAACGTTCGTTGTAATTTGTTCAAGTCAATCCAAAATCATTGAACTCAGTACGACTGGACCCGTGAAGATCAATGCGGGTCTTCAGGATCCAATGCTTGTCTCCCGTCATGGAGGTCCGGGTTAGAATTGATCTTCAGCAATCCATGCTTGTCTCCCCTTGTGAAGGTCCGGGTTAGAATTGATCTTCAGCAATCCATGCTTGTCTCGCCTTGTGAAGGTCCGGGTTAGAATTGATCTTCAGCAATCCATGTTTGTCTTCCTTGTGAAGATCAATGTTGACGCGTTTATTGTATGTCATCGTATCCCAGTTTCGTAGACCAATGCTTATGATGTGTGTCACTGGTTTGTCTGGTCCAGAGTCGATAATTTACATTTTGTAGAAAACATAGGAAGATTATTAATAAGTTGTGTTTATTTTTTCGTGTATATTCGAATCCCGGATGAGTACTAAATGTTTTGCTTTACTAAGTGTAATCCGAAATATGAAACTTAATAATAACCCATGCATTTCGTGTGTCCCCCGCCTTGATATTGCTGGAATGCTAGAGGCGGCGTAAAACCATACTCACTCACTTAATAATAAGGTTTAACATTGCTTGTAACATTATTCCGGTTATATCACAGCGTGTCTGTCGCAAGTATGGGAGCAAAGCCCGAATTAATGCACCCACTATTAGGTATGGTAACAAACAGATACATAATCTGGAAGTCTTCAATGAAAATAGCATATTAATGGTAGTGCCTAGAGGTGTGTTAGATAGTGAATACCCATCAAGATATTCCCACACCACACCTTTGTGTGAAGTGCCAACTGTTTCCGTGGAGTCTTCTGTCACTCCTTTGTTCCTGGTCTTTGTATAAATAGTGGCGGTTAAGCACAACAATATGACGGTTAAGCACAACAATATGGCGGTTAAGCACAACAGTAGTGGCGTTAAGCACAACAGTAGTGGCGTTAAGCACAACAATAGGGTGGCTAATCACTACAATAGTGGCGGTAAAGCACAACAGTAGTGGCGTTAAGCACAACAATATGGTGGCTAATCACTACAATAGTGGCTGTTAAACAGAACAATATGGTGGTTAAGCACTACATTATGGTGGCTAATCACTACAACAGTGGCGGTAAGCACGACAGTATGGTGGTTAAGCACAACAACATGGCGGTTAATCACAACAATATGGTGGCTAATCTCTACAATAGTGGCGGTTAAGAACAACAATATGGCGGTTAAGCACTACATTATGGTGGATAAGCACAACAATATGGCGCTTAAGCACAACAATACGGTGGCTAATCACTACAATAGTTGCGGTTAAGCACAACAACATGGTGATTAAGCACAACAATAGTGGCGGTTAAGAACAACAATATGGCGGTTAAGCACAACAACATGGTGATTAAGCACAACAATAGTGGCGGTTAAGCACAACAACATGGTGATTAAGCACAACAATAGTGGCGGTTAAGAACAACAATATGGCGGTTAAGCACAACAACATGGTGATTAAGCACAACAATAGTGGCGGTTAAGAACAACAATAGTGGCGGTTAAGCACGACAACATAGTGGCGGGTGATTAAGCACAACAATAGTGGCGGTTAAGCACAACAACATGGTGATTAAGCACAACAATAGTGGCGGTTAAGAACAACAATAGTGGCGGTTAAGAACAACAATATGGCGGTTAAGCACAACAACATGGTGTAAGCACAACAATATGGCGGTTAAGAACAACAATAGGTGGCGGTTAACATAAGTGAACAACAACATGGTGATTAAGCACAACAATAGTGGCGGTTAAGAACAACAAATATTGGTGCGGTTAAGCACAACAACAATATGGCGGTTAAGATTAAGCACAACAACAATAGTGGCGGTTAAGAACAACAACATGGTGATTAAGCACAACAATAGTGGCGGTTAAGAACAACAATATGGCGGTTAAGCACGACAACATGGTGATTAAGCACAACAATAGTGGCGGTTAAGAACAACAATATGGCGGTTAAGCACAACAACATGGTGATTAAGCACAACAATAGTTGCGGTTAAGCACAACAACATGGTGATTAAGCACAACAATAGTGGCGGTTAAGAACAACAATATGGTGGTTAAGAACAACAACATGGTGATTAAGCACAACAATAGTGGCGGTTAAGAACAACAACATGGTGATTAAGCACAACAATAGTGGCGGTTAAGAACAACAATATGGCGGTTAAGCACGACAACATGGTGATTAAGCACAACAATAGTTGCGGTTAAGCACGACAACATGGTGATTAAGCACAACAATAGTGGCGGTTAAGAACAACAATATGGCGGTTAAGCACAACAACATGGTGATTAAGCACAACAATAGTTGCGGTTAAGCACAACAACATGGTGATTAAGCACAACAATAGTGGCGGTTAAGAACAACAATATGGTGGTTAAGCACAACAACATGGTGATTAAGCACAACAATAGTGGCGGTTAAGAACAACAATATGGCGGTTAAGCACGACAATATGGCGGTTAAGCACTACATTATGGTGGTTAAGCACGACAATATGGCGGTTAAGCACATCAATCTGGCGGTTAAGCACAACAATATGGTGGCTAATCTCTACAATAGTGGCGGTTAAGCACAACAATATGGCGGTTAAGCACTACATTATGGTGGTTAAGCACGACAATATGGCGGTTAAGCACAACAATCTGGCGGTTAAGCATATTCACAATAGTGGCGGTTAAGCACAAATGTCTTTGTGAAAACAATATCTATATTACTACACAGTAAACTATGTTTATAACGAACACGACTATAACGAACTGTCGGATATAACGAAGTGGGGTTTTTTGGCGCTTGCCACTTGATGTATATTTAATTTAAATGCATATAACTAACTCCGTGCCTCTTCATGTATATTTCATTTTAAATGCGTATAACGAACTTCGGTTATACCGAACTAAACTTCGATGTTCCCCTGATAAAGTTCTAGCCGATGTTTCCTGTACTTCATAAAGAATATGTGATGTATAACTGTCTTGTACCAAGCATGTGAACGGCGAAAATATTCACCATAAACATGTAAAGTACACGTGGCCGAAAGCAGATGTCGACTAAGAATATCTGCACAGCACGCCTGTATCATACGTGATGTTCTGCTTAGGTTGTATTTGACTGGATAACCCGGATCTCGGTTAGGTCAGTTCATGAAATTCTCACGCTATATTCGTGCGTATATATATAGTGGTACGCTCGTTGTGGGTGTTTTCG